GCCGTGTCCGTGTCTGTGGATGGTACGTGGAGCCATGTCTGTGTCCGTGTGTGTGGATGGTACGTGGAGGCATGTCCGTGTGTGTGTGGATGGTGGGTGGAGGCGTGTCCATGTGTGTGGATGGTGCGTGGAGGCGTGTCCATGTGTGTGGATGGTGCGTGGAGGCGTGACCGTGTGTGTGTGGATGGTGCGTGGAGGCGTGTCCGTGTGTGTGTGGATGGTGTTTGGAGGTGTGTCCGTGTGTGTGGATGGTACGTGGAGCCATGTCCGTGTGTGTGTGGGTGGTACGTGGAGACGTGTCCGTGTGTGTGGATGGTGCGTGGAGGTGTGTGTGTGTGTGTGGATGGTGTGTGGAGGCGTGTCCGTGTGTGTGGATGGTGTGTGGAGGCGTGTCCGTGTGTGTGTGTGGTGTGTGGAGGCGTGTCCGTGTGAGGGGTGGTAGTGTGGGGGTGTGGGTGGGTGAGAGAATGGTCTTGGGATTGCTATAACGTGTTTCCAAGTAGTGTGCAGACTTCATTGGAGTTTGATATCAGAGAAAAGGACCTGAAATGTAGCTCAACTTCAGCATTTATTCTATAAAAGCAGCCTGTTGAAGAGAAGAGAGCCTGGTTAGCAGTGTGCTTACTGTTTCAAAGCACTGAAAAGATGTAAACTATATGGGAAAAGATATTTGTTCACATTTTTCAAAAAATAATGTGTGCTTGAAATGAGATCTTAAAATCTATAATAAGGTAATTTAGGTAGATGAAACCTGAAAGAAGAATATATTTGAAGGGACGTGGGTTGCTGGGAAGGATTCTCAGATCACCTAGGACCGCTTCATTCTCCGATGGGTGTGGCAGGCAGGAGGGCTGCAGGAGACCTCGAGCATCACTGGTCCCAACCCTAAGGAGCAGTTCTCTGTCATTGCTATTGCCAGGAGGAAAAGGTCTCCCCAGAAGGCAGAGAGCTACCTTCAGGGAGCTTTGAAGAACTACCTGGCCGAGGGTTGGGCCCTGCCTGTCACGCACACCCGGAAGCAGCTTGCCGAATGCCAGAAACACCTTGGGCAAGTTGAGAAGTATCCTTTACTGCCAGCATTTTCACCAAGTAGGAAAATTGCTTTCTGTTTTAGGAGCAGTGTTGTTCACCACTGAATATTTAATAATGCCTAATATTGAGGAGAAAATCCTACATTACACATACCATGTAGAATGTGAAAATGCCTCATTAATATTTTGTAAGTCTAATTTTGACTTTCTAATAACTAAAATAAGCACTTTGGCCACCCTTTGAAGGCTAGGGTTACTTAGCCCTTTTGTCGCAGCGTCCTCAGTTCAAGGTTCTCCCTCCAGGCCCCTTAACTCTGTCCAGCTACCTGCAGACCAGCAGCCTTCTGGCCAGTGATCAGCACCTGACCAAGGAAGAGCGGAAGTACTTTTGCCAGGAGATACTCAGCTTTGCTGGGTGGCCTGCAGACAGCCCGGGTGAGTCCAGTGCATCCCAGTTTATTGTGAGCACTTGGGAGGCTGAGCCAGAGAGATCACTGCAAGTTCGAGGCCAGCCTGGGCTGCATAGTGAGTTCAAGGCCAGCCTGAATTACACAGTGAGACCCTGTCTCAAAAAGAAAAAATGAAACTAAAAAAGAAAACCTGAAACCTTAATTGAGTACCATTTTCACAAACTGCAGAAAAATAATAATACAAAGTATCCCATTTATCTGGAGTCAACAGTTAGCACTTTGATCACTTTAGTGTATAGTAAGCATGCATCTCTCTCTCTTTTACCTTTTTTCTTTTTGCTGAACTTCAAGGAAACTCCACTCCCCCAAACAGCTTAGCATACATTTTCTAGAAATAAGGACAGATGGTCTCCTAACCACCTAAGGAGTTCACGGGGTTCTATCACCTTCAAAGAGGTCCATACTCAGATTTCCCTAATTGTCTCAAAAAACTGTTTCTGGAAATATATTTTAATAGAGGCCAACAAGGGACTTCATACTGCATTTGGTTGTTATATCTCAATTCTTTTTTAGTTCAGAACAGCTATTCTCAATTTTGTTTTGTTTTTTTACAACACTGACATTTTAAACCTGTTAGCTTTACTGAGGTAGAGCCCACCTGTCGTGATCCCCCATTAAAGTGTGCATGCAGTGGCTTTTAGCATATTCACAGGTGTGTGCACCCACCACCACCCCATTTAGAATGCTGTCATCACCCCAGAAAGAAACCCCCTGCTCCCCCAACGCCACTAGCCATCTGTCTCTGGGACACCTGATCTGCGTGCTCAGGTCTGGCTCAGCCCACCGTGAGGGTTCAAGGTTCTCAAGGTTCGCCCACAGTGGGCACGCGGCTGTGTTTGCACCCATTGTGGAGCATGCTGTGTTGGGCCAGTCGGCTCGCATTCTGGCCCACTCTGGAGTCTGGCAGTGTTCACTCAGGGGAGCATCTGAACAGAAGTGTGCTCAGCGCTGTGACGGACACACTCGGTAATGATGCAGTGTGGCAAAGTCGCTTGGTTTACTGAGGAGAGCACTTACCTATGTAGTGCATGTCACTCTGCTGCTGCTGGCGGGACAAACACCGTGGCCAGGGCTTTCTTTCCTCCGAGCTCTGGAGGCTGGTGTTGGAGGTCAGGTATGGAGGCTCAGGTTTGGGTGAGGCCTCTTCCTGGTCTCCGGTGTCCTCACACCAGGGGAGAAGAGAGCAAGCCGCCTGGTGGCTGTCCTTGTAAGGACACTGATCCTGTCACGAGACCCCTTGACATCCTGAGTCATCCCTGCCCCAGCCCATCTCTGTTCCCCATCCTGGGAGGGGGTCAGGGCTTTGTGCATGAGCCTCAGGGACATGATCCGGGCCGTGGCAGCAGCTGACCATGTGAAAGCAAATTTTCCAGAAGCTTTGGCTCCAGGTTTGCACAGTCCTTGACTTTGGTGGCTTCCCTTGAAGAGGACCGCCTGGACAGTTCCTCAGGAGCACCAGAGCGGCACAGTGGTCTGTTGGCTCTTTAATGAGCCTGAATGGGCTGTTGGCACCATGGCCATGCCTGCTGCTTGCTCGTGTGGCAAATGGCTGAATTACGGTTCTGCCAGTTTCCGTGGCATCTCTATGTGGGTCCCATATTCCATCACTGTTTACTGCTCCTCCCTTATCTTACAGTGTCAGTCTTGGCCAGTCTTCTTTAGTTCATGTTAAGCTGTTTTCTTTTTCCTTTGCAGTGCTAGGGAAGGGCTTTGTGTATGCTAAGCACATGCTCTGCCACTGAGCTGTGCTCTAGCCCCCTTAGTTGATGAATGGCTAAGAAATGCTCACTGGTCAGTTTTGCAGTCTGCCTTTTCCCTGACCAAGCCAGGGTGCTTGTAGAAAGGAGGTTGGAAGGCCAGAGTGCCATGGCTTCTCCCCACCTGCCCAGTGACCGCAGAGCTGGCTGCTTCGGGTCCTGGGTTGGAGCCTAGCTGGGACACCTTGACCTATTTCTGCATGCGCAGTGGGGGTCCTGGCATCTTTCCCTGAGATGTTTAAGTAGGAAGAAAAGTGTGGGGGCCCCTAGACAATCTAGGAAGTGTGCTGTTGACAAGGTTTATATTAAACTTGAGGAGTTAGTTGATGTGTGTTCTCTTAAGTTTGCCACACCAATTAGTTTCTGTTATTTTCATAATTTCCCTGACTTGTCTGTGCATTCATTTATATTTTCCTGTTGACAAAATCCTCTTGAGCTGTGATGGAGGCAGGAGGTGGGCAGCTCTCCAGCCTCTCTCTCTCTTGCCCTCACTGGCACCAAGGGCAGGGCCAGGGGACCACCTTGCTGCAGCCGGTGGCCTGGGCAGGACACGCGGTCTGTGTTCTCAGGTCACAAGGTGGTGCTGCCCATGCACTCCTTCGCACAGCTGCAGGACCTGCACTTCGACCCTCCCAACGCCGTGGTCCACGCGGGTGGCACCTTGTCCCTGGAGATGACCGTGTACAGCCAGATGCCGGTCCCTGTGCCTGTAGACCAGATTGCCATCAATGTGCACTTCAGTGTCGAGAAGAACAGCTACCGGAAGACTGCTGAGTGGCTGACCAAGCACAAGACACCCAATGGCATCATCCACTTCCCCGCTGAGGTCTCCCCACTCCCCCCGGCCCAGAGCAGCTTGCCTGCGCTGGAGCTGTCTGAGATGTTCGAGCGCAGCCCTTCAGACAATGCCCTGACCACCACGGGCATCATCTGCAGAAACGTCCACATGCTGCTGCACAGGCAGGAGGGTGGCTCTTCTCTAGAGGCGCCCTCCGGGGTGGCCCTGGAGGACGGGGCCCACGTGCTGAGGTGCAGCTGCGTGACACTGGAGCCCGGGGCCAACAGGGTGGCGTTCAGGACTCAGGTTGGTGGAGAAGGCTCAGTTGAGGCCTGCTGTCTGGCTCACTGTATTTGTCTCCACTGTTATTTATGGTGTTTTGGCTGTTGCTCAGTTTTGACTGAAGCTCTTTATGGGGATTCAGTTAGCTTTCTAGCTGAGTGGAGCCCGTACTGTTGGCCTTGTGAGCCAGTCATCATCCTCACTTGCTAACATGGGATTTTAAGGAAGGTAGTGCAGTCACTGAGCTCCGTTTCCCGTTTTTTTGGCTGCATCAGTGTTAAAACAGTTGCCTCTGGCTGAGCATGGTGCCCAGTACTCTGGGAGGCTGAGACAGGAGGATTGCAAGTTTAAGCCCAGCTTGGATAACTTAGTGAGACCCTGTCTCAAAAAAATAAAAATGGGGCTAGGGATGTATCTCAGTGCAAATGCCCTGGGTCTAATCCCCAGAACCACAGAAAACTGGCCCCCTCTGCCGTGCTTTCCTCTGATGAAGTGTGCCCTGAGTGCTCTCCTCTGGGGCGAGATCTCTCTGTGACCAGGCCAGACTTGGCCTCAAGCAGGCCGTGCGTCTGCCAGGTCTCCTGCCTGCCCGCACGGCAGATGTCACCCTTTCCTTTCCATAAACACCCTTATCCGAAGCATCAGATTGAGCAGAAGTGTCCATGACTCTGAGATCGGGGCTTCTGGCCCCCTTCTCAGGAGCAGACATGGGCGCACAGGGCGGAGACCAGGAGGGGGAGCAGGCGGTCGGGTCCTGCTGTGGGATGCTCAAGCTACAGAGTACTTGCCGTCTTCCCAAGTGCCTGCTTCTGACCTAGGCCAAGGAGCCGGGGACGTACACACTCCGGCAGCTGTGCGCCTCGGTGGGCCCTGTGTGGTTCGTGCTTCCGCACATCTACCCCATCGTGCAGTACGACGTGTATTCTCAGGAGCCACAGCTGCACGTGGAGCCACTGGCAGGTGAGTGGTGCCCGGGGCCATACAGGAAGAGGGAGTGGGGACTTAGTTTTCGCTGCCTGTCGGCCTTTGAGGCTCCCTAGCTGGCAGGATGGAGCCACCTGTGGCTCTTCTGTTCCTGGAACTGCTGACTCTGGTATTTAATAACTGGTGTGTCTGAGAAGAAGCAAGTAGAAAAGTTACTGAAAGTCAGCGCAGGTCTGCTGCGGGCACTGAGGCTTCGGTTTCCTCCCGGAGCTGTGTCAGAGGCTCCAGGTTGGGGCTGGGCAGAGGGCCCCGCTCCAGTGCCAAGTAAGCCTGGCCCTCCGGCATCGCACTTGAGTTCAGAGCTTCTTCCATTTTGCTCAGTTCCAAAATTAGGAACTGGTGTTCAGTCTGTTGAGGACCACTTGGCCCCTGACTCGGCACTAGTGAGCGAGAGTCACCGCTGTTTAGGCTGGGAGCAGCATGCTTGCTTGGTGTTTTTCCAGTTGAGTCCCCCATCCTCCCTGTCTTTCTGCATCAGCTTGTGCTAGGGTAACAGCTGCAGCTAAGCAGCTGCCTCTGAAGTGATCCACCCTGCAGGGTGCCCTGTGGCAGGGCTGAGCTCTGCTCCTGCAGTGCCACATCCCCAGCCCCCTTGCTCCCTGTCCTCCCCAGCCTTCGCCCACCTACCTCCTCTCTGCTCCCTTCCTTCTCCTGCCTCGGGCCTGCTTCTATCTCCCCAGGCCAGGATTCGCAGAGGCTTCGGCGCCTGCTGCCCTCAGGTCCGGCTGGGTGGGCAGTACCATCCCGACAGCTGTGTTTCTGAGCCAGGCAGTGAGCTTGTGCACAGCTCCACATACACAAGTGGTTAGGGCAGCGGGTGGAGACCGAGCAGGGCCTGGGGTGCCCAGAAGAGCAGGTCTCATGCAGTGGGAGACAGGGCCCCCTGCTCCTCTCATCACAGGCCCTGACTGCGGCCTTGTTCCCTTTAGATAGCCTTTTGGCTGGCATTCCTCAGAAGGTCAAGTTCACTGTCACCACCGGCCACTACACAGTGAAGAACGGGGACAGCCTGCAGCTCAGCAACGTGGAGGCCATGCTGGTCCTGTGTCAGGGAGAGAACAGAGCTGTGGTCTACTCTAACTCGAGAGGTACTGTGTGGGCAGGTGTGGTGGAGGTGGGCTCGGGATGGCCACATACCGGGAGACTGTGACAGATGGCGCCACTGCCACCGGGTCAGCCTGTCCTGACACTTCCTGTGTCCACGTGTGCAGGCGGCATTTGAGGTCAGCGCTCAGAGGTGGACTAACCTGGCCCTGAGCTGGGAGAGTTTTGGGAGAGCAGACAGCCTGCAGCGTGTCCCTGGGTGGTGCTGACCTCGATGGGGCACCACGTGCAGCTGGCCTGCACTCCACGGGCCCCCGCCAGCCTCGCCGCCCCACCACCCACTGAAAGACAGGAGGCGGTCCCCTTTTCAGGGGCCATCAGAAGCCCTGTCAGAGGGTGCTTGCCGGTCCCTAGCCACACAGGCGGAAGGGGAGCCGCTTGTCTTCCTCTGGGTGGAGGTGGAGCCACCCAGGTGGCGCCCTGAGCTCTCTGCCCTGAGAGTGGCTCCTGGCCTGCCAGCTTGCCCCCTGTGTCCTCTCTGGCTTTCCTTGGCCTGGCCTTTCCCTGGCTGGCTGCAGGACAGCAGGAGCCTGCCATTGAGAAGGAAAAGGATGTGCCTCATTCGAGCTTTCTATCCTGTAGAAGAGTCCTCCACCACAGTGCTCCGGATCCAGTCCTCCGACAAGGTCACGAGCATCGGGCTGCCTGCCACACCTGCATACCACGTCATTGAGTTTGAGCTGGAGGTTTTGTCCCTGCCATTGGCTCCAGCATCTAGCAGGGAGAGCGACATGCCAGGGACACCGGAGCACCCCAGGAAGCAAAAGGACAGACAGAGGGCAGGCCCCTGCATGGTCACCACCGACCACAAGGTAGGGTGGGCAGCAGGCTGAGGAGATATGGCAGCCGCTTCTGTCCCTTGTGTGTGGCCAACATCTTCGCTCACACCAGGGGGAGAAGTAGGACTGGGCCCAGATCCTGCACTCCAGAGAGGCATAGAGTGTCAGACAGGTGGACGCCCGTGGGTGAGGGCCAAGGTCCAGCCCAGAGAGTGGGAGGAAATCCCTGCTCTGCTCCTGCACAGAGCCTCGGGAGCCACTGGTGACACTCACTGCAGCAGGAGCCACCTCCATCCCAAACAGGGGGAAAGAAGCCAAGTCCTGGTGCCCTCTCTGCCCATCAGGGAATCGCTGCCTTGTCCACACAAGGCCCCATGTGGCCTGGTCTCCATCAGGAGCTTGGCACCAGAGGGCGGGGATGCTTACATGGCCACTGCCCTCTAGGGTGTGGGAGTGTCCTGCCTCCGGTGCCTTCCTGCGTGTTTCCTCTGGACCTCACGTGCTCTGGAGCCATCGAGGCCAATCTGGTGCCACATGGCCCCCTGCTCCTTCTGTCTCGGTTTTGTCTGTGTACATAGCTTTGAGTTTCTCGCTTGTTTGTGCACGTTTAGTAGATTTCTACTTTGTGAACAGTGCACAGAAGTCATGATGAAATGTCTGAACATCAGCAGCCACTGCAGAGTCAGTGGGCTGAGCGTGCGTCCCTCTCTGTTCCCCACAGTTGTCCATCGATTGCCCGTGGTCCATCTACTCCACTGTCATTGCACTGACATTCAGTGTGCCCTTCAGGACCACGCACTCCCTGCTCTCTGCTGGAACCAGGTATCGAGGCCCTGCCCCTTCCCCACTGTGCTGCTGCCTTGTGATTGTTAGGGTGCCTTCCTACCTAACCGCAGTGCCACTGGCCCTGGTCGGACTCATGGTAACTCCCAGGTGTCTGTAGCACCTAGTTCATGCTCAGTGCTCCTGTCTCTCCAGTGGCACTTGGCACTTGACCTGGGGTCCGGACAGGTCCCTGTGTGGCTGCTTGCCTGTATTTGCCCCTCCTGTGCATGTTAGGCCATTGTTGTGTTTGGCAGGCCGCTGTCTGACCTCTGCACGGTCTCCTGGACTCAGCCGACCACCTCCCCTGCTCGGGTCTCATGTCGTCAGCGTGGTTGCCTCTGGAGAAGGGTCTGTCCAAATGCTGCCTTTTGCAGCCCAGTGATTCTTTGCTCTGGGGGCTGACGTCGACTCTGGAGGGGCTGAGCAGCACTTCTGGGTGCCCCCGATGCCTGGGCCACAAGCCTGCCCTCTGGTGGGATGCCCACAGATATCTCAAGACTCTACAGTTCCTGGGAGGGGCTGTGTTGTCCAGCTGAGGGCCCTGCTCCGGACGCTTGGTCACCAACAGCTGTGTGTGGAGGTGACGCAGTGCGGTGCATCGCGGAATGCTACACAGAGTGATGCCGCCAACACTGACCACTGTCAGGGTCCAGCCTGGTCTCCGCTGTAACCTTCCCTGCTTCATTGATGATACCTGGAAAACAGGAAGGAAAAATGTTAAGCCCGTATGCTGTGTAGAGCATTATACCAGCAGTGGCTTTTTTCTTCAGATCATAGCAGGGGAACTGGAGCCATTAGTGGTTAAAAACCTGTCATCTCTCAGAAAACCCTGGGTGCTTTTAAGAAAATGTCTTTCCTTAAAGACTCATTTTCACAGCTCTGCGGGTATCAGGGATGACTTGGTTTCTCGGTGACCAGTCCTGACTGCTCTAAGGATGAGTGCCCGTTGCCCTTCCCCGAAGGACACTGTGGCCCGCTGCCTGATTGGGGAGGGCCACACGTTGTGCCATGATGGCCCTGCTTCACAAATAGGGTGTCCTCTCACCCCCTTCCCCACAGGAATAGCTTTTTAAAACACATGTGGGTTTCTTGGGCACTTTTATATTTGAAATCAGAAGCAGAAATTATTTTGCTTTGTCACTTTTGTAGTCTCCTCATCAGTGAAGGTCTTCCTAACAAGGCTGAGATACATGTAAAAGATTATTACATGTCAAAATCATGCTTTGCTTTCCTCCTTTAGGAAATATGTTCAAGTTTGTGTCCAGAACTTGTCAGAGCTTGACTTCCAGCTGGCAGAGAGTAATCTTGCAGATACTGGAGGCTCCACCACCCTGCAGCTGACACCACTGAATGCACCATCCCTGCAGGTAAACACCCTCTAGGCCTGGTGCAGCAGGACCCAGGCCATGTAGTTTGCTGAAGTGGAGTGGTGAGCTTTGGGCTTGAGCCAGAAGTGCAGAGAAGAGTCTCGCTGCTGACCCAGAAGAGCTTGTGTGTGCTAAGCAGGCCTGAGCCAGTGCCATGCTTGCCGGGATATGTGTATGGCATGTCACTGATATACTAAGTGGCCTTGGGCTTGGCTGAGGGGTGCAGCAGACGTGTTAGAAGAATTTAGGCTCACACATGGCCTACTCTGCACACGATTTATGCAAACATAGGCTCATGCAGGACTCTCCTGTGGACCCCGGGCATGGATACTGGTCCCCTCTGCCTGTTAGGGGAAGGAGTCCTGGGTGTGGGGCAGCTCTGCGGACATCACCCCTCCTTTGCCGTGGGGGCAGCCTCCTCAACAGAATCACCGAGGCACCTCTAGTTACCACCCTGCCCTTTCCTGCTCCTTTTCTACATGTGCTTTTGCAAGTAAATGCTGAATGTTCACAGGATCTGAGGCTTTTTAATGGATCTGTCTTCAGCATTTTCAAAAGGCTATCCTGCTACTACTGGACTGTTTTCATGTCTTACCTGAGCCTGTCTCCATCCCCTAGGTTTGGCGTCTGCATTAGTCACGTTCAGGTTATGCATCTGGCTGTGCTAGTTCTAACTCAACTTCGTGTTAAATAGAGATCGATGGGTGTGAGTGTGAAGATGTCAGTCGCAGCCCCCTTTTGGTGACATGTTTGGGGTGTCCTGGGCACTAAGAAAGATTCCTGAAGCCTCTTACTGTCCCAGTGCTGTGAGGCTCTTGGACTCACGGGAACCAACACTGTTTCCAGGTCGCGTGCCACCTGCGCAGGGCCGGGTGGGACGGTGGCGCGGGGCAGTGGCTGGTGCTGCAGGACTGCAGGGCACACGCAGCGTGGCACAGCCTCCCCGGCGGGAAGGGGCTGTCTGCTCCTGTGCGGGGCCCTGGCGAGTAGCAGTGACAACGGCTCTCTTTGCAGCACATCCACAGCAAGCAGTCGGTGTTTTTCATCTGGGAGTTGAAGTGGACGCAGGAGCCTCCCCCTGCCCTGCACTGCCAGTTCTCCTTGGGCTTCTCCCCGGCCTCTGCAGAGCAGCTGTCCGTCCCCCTGAAGCCCTACACGTACGAATTCCAAGTGGAGAACTTCTTCGTACGTAGTGGGTCGTCTGGGGAGCGGAGCGGTGTGTGGGGTGCGAGGTGAGAGGTGGCGTCAGTCTTTGTAGTCTCGAGATGCACGTGGACAGATGCAGCGTAATGAAGCCGCAGCTCCGGGAGTCCAGTAGTTGGGTCCTTCCCCATGACACCCCGAGCGGCCTGTGCTCGTCCTCACCCTGATGGAGTTGCTCCTGGGAAGCCAGCTGCTTGGTGCTCTCTGTCGCCGTGCCAGCTCCCGTGCAGGCAGCCAGGGCCGTTGTTTTCTGAGTCTGGTTTTCTACATGGAGCGCTACCGGTGTCGCAGAGTGGCGGTTGCTGTGCAGGGAGAACCGTGTGAATCTGAGCTCGGAGGGGCACTGAGCGGGAGGAGCCAGGCGGGCAGGGGAGTGAGTGCATGGTCTGTCAGGCTCCCGACTGTACCTGTGCTGGGCTTTGTGACTTTCCCTTCCCTTCCTTGGAACCCTCAGGCGTCTGACCTGGGAGGTTTGCATTTGCAGCCTTTTCTCCCCGGCCTCTGACCAGACAGACACCTCAGTCCTTGTGTAACATAATCAGCGCAACAGTGTGTCCTTCCTGGGGCATGGGCAGCAGCCAGCAGGGGTCCTGGAGGTGCTGAGGGCTCTGCGAGGGGTGACCTGGTTGTTTACCACAGGCGATCTGTCGGTCCCTGCCACTGTCACTGTCCTGGCACTTTTTCCTCCTCAGAGTAGAACATAGAAAGGGTTTCTGAGGCCTTGTGTAGCTGAGGCCGCCGCCCTGTGCTCAGCGCACTGGTCCCTGCCATCTGCAACAGCTGCCTGGCAGCTGCGGAGTGCTGTGCCCTGGGCTGTGCATCCCTATCCGTGTGGACATTGACCGTGGCATTGCGTCATGGCTCATGGCCAGGGGTGTGTCCTCGTAGGTTCAAGACCTTCACTCATTTTTATTTATTTTGTTTGTTTGTGTGTGTGTTTTTGGTACCAGGGATCGAACTCGGGACCTTGCGCTTGTGAGACAGGCGGCAGCACCACTGAGCTAAATCCCCGGCCCCTTCACTCATTTTTAAATGGGGCGATTTGTTTTTTTATAAATGGACCCTAAGTTCTTTGTACATCCCAGGTCTCAGCTCCTAACAATACTGCATAATAATCGGAAGTGTTTTCTGCCATTCCGTGAGTTGTCTTTAGTTTCTTAATGGTGTTCTTTGAGGCACAGAAGTTTCTAGTTTTCGGTAAAATCTCATTATTTCCCCTTTTATTGCTCAGACTTTTGTTTTTAGATCTGAGCAATCATTGCCTCATAGGAGGTTATAAAGGTTTCCTCCTCTGTTCCCTTCCAAGAGTTGTGTAGGCTTCGTGTTTGGATCTGGGCTCTGACCAACTGTGAGTTAGTGTCTGTGGGGGTTGAAGGCATCCACAGCCCCTCTGTGCATGTGGCTCGTCAGATGTCCTTACACCATGTGCCAAGCAGACCCTCGGCCACCAGGCGGTGTGGCACCCCTGTTGCAGTCAGGTGGCCATAGCTGTGAGCTTGTTGCGCCAGAGGTTTGTGAGTCGCCGGCCTGCAGCCCGTGAAGGAGCCAGCTCCTCCTCTAGCTGCGCTGGTCCTGAGCAGCAGCATTGGAGCTAGGGTCAGACTTCAGAGCAGGCAGCCGCCATCACCACTTTCACTTTCGGGGCTCCTCCAAGCCCCGAGACAAGTGCGACCTTGGCTGCTTTGGGAAACAATCTGGGTCTCAAGCACCTGCTGTCGCGGAGAGGCTGGCCTTGGAGAGGCAGCTGCAGACTGCCCAGAGGGATACGGAGGAATTCTGTTGATTTTGCTAAGTCGTGATAGTGGCCTTGTGCTTTGGTAAGAAAACGCCTGTACATTTAGCAGTGAGGACTGAACACGTGGGTGAAGTGACAGGCTGTCTGGAATTTGCTGTGAAACATCTGGGGCAGATTCAGAAATGTAGATGAGCAGAGGGAGCAAAGGAAGGAAAGTGTTGATAAGCAGTGGGCTGAGCTGCCTGTGTGGTTAAAAGCTCTGAGAGGCTCAGTCAGTGGTGCAGAGGGTATTCACACAGCTGTTTGTTTTTGTGCTTGGAGATCGGAAGGCCCTGGGGCGTGGGCTCCCAAGAATGGGGCATCTGTGGCAGGGGTCGTGTGGGGCCAGAGGCCACAGCAGCCTCCTGGCTCGGCCCTCTGAGTCCTGTGTGTGTGAGCTTGTGTGTCCCTCCCCACCCAGACCCTGTACACCGTGAAGGCGGAGGTGCTGCCGCCCACGGGTGCGGAATACTGCAGGACTGGCTCGCTTTGCTCTTTGGAGGTGTCCATCACCCGGCTCGCTGACCTGCTGGAGGTGGACAAGGATGAGGCGCTGACGGGGTCCGACGAATACTTCTGCACGAAGCTCATGTATGAAGGTGGGTCCCGACGCCTGTTCTGACTTGTCGCAGGCGCTGTCTGTCCAGTGCAGTCCCAGGAGGGCCTTTCAGAGCAGTTGGTGCTCACTTGGTGGCTCACTGAGGGTGACCTCCGTGTTCATGGAACCTTCTAGCAGGCTTATCCAGGGGTGTCTGGGCCTCTTCTCCATGCGGTCCAGGACCTGGCGTGGCTCCTGAGGCAAGGCCAGGCCCCACTGCCCCACAGCCACCTGTCCTTCCGTCTGGGGCTCACGCTGTCCCCGGGTCTTCTCTGTCCACTTCCTCCTGGCTGCTTCAGCCCAGTGTTCTCACACACAGTGCACAATGCAGACGTTTATTATTTACAACCACAACAGTAAAGCTGTCACGTGATACATTCATGAAAACTACTTCCCAGAACAAAAGGGAGCCTAGTGAGTGTTTTGTGTCCTTCACACCTCTCTGAAGTCAGCGGCAGGAGGTACGTGACAGCCACGCCGTCTCGTCTGCGCTGCTCTGCATCTTGAGGGTGTATTTCCTTGGCTGAGTGCACAAAGACTGTAGCTGCCAGGGGGAAAGCTTGTAACAGCCTTTCCCGTAGCTGTGGACACTCTGGACACCACCTCAGGGCCTGACAGACTGGGTGCTGTGTGCAGCTCACCGTGCTCATTCATTGCATCCTTTGGCCCTTCCCATGCTCCCAGTGGACCTTTGTCAAACCTACTGTGCATCGGTCATTTGGAAAATACAATTCCTGAGTTAGGCGGCTCTTCAAGATGCTGGCGTGTCCTTTCACCATGTCCCAAAGTCACATTGCCAGAGCCCACTGCAGGCTCTGTGGGTGCTAGTTCCTGTCAGGCTTGCAGCTACCATGCAGGTTTTCCAAAATTCTAATTTTTGCTGAAAGTCTAAAGTGGATTCTTGGCAACAAGTACTGCTGGTTATTTTCTTTGAAGTGACAGCCTCACATTGTTCATTTATAAGAAAATATATGTTAGATAGGTGTGACTGATGACCCATAGTTTGTTAGTCCTGTTCCAGGCAAAAAGAGCCCTGCAGACACAGCGGCCGGCCTGTCCAGTCCAGTCCAGTCCAGTCCACAGCACCGCGCGCCCTGAGATAGTCTCCTGCAGTGGCCGCTGGTGCCGTGAGAATGCCAGATACCTGTGCCAGCGAGATGCCCTGAACTGGACGGCGTTGGCCACTGTGACTGCTTTGTGAGGGACATTCCTGGGTTGCTGCAGCCTCTGCTGTGAGAGTGAAAGGCGTCACCTTGAGCTTGGGGCCCTGCGGCCTATCCCCTCCTGCTGCGCAGTGCCCTCTCCGGTCCTCACTCCCCTGTGCCTGCTCCAAGCTGCTCCCCTCCTCCCGGGGCTTCCGTCTGTCTGCTTCTCAAGGCAAGGCTGTCCTGCTCACCCCCTTCCCCAGGTCCCCTCCTGCTCACTCCTGTCCCAGGCTGGTGGGTTGTGAGGACTGCAGAGTCATTGATAGGCTGGGTTTGAACACTGACCTCCATACTGACAGCTGCCATAGATCCAGACTGCTGTGTCCTGGGAGAGCCCTTGGGCCTGTGGTGGCCACCCCGCCCCGCCCCGCCCCGCCCACAGGTGGTTGCCCAGAAGGTCGGGTCGCAGTGCGGACCGTTGGTGCTGCCCTGTACTGTTCCAATTTAACCATGCTTCATTTATTTCAGGGGAAAAGTGGTTTTCTGTGTTTTTCCAGTGTGGTCCAGGGTGGACTAGAGCTGACTGCATGCCGGCTGACAGCAGTGCTGTATCCCATGTAGTAGAGCGTGTGTGTCTCGTGTGAAGGCGCAGTCAGACCCGGACAGGTCTCCCCAGCCCAGGGTCTCCCCAGCGGTGCTGCTTGCTCTGGTTGAGCACTAAATGGCCTCTGCTCCTCCTTTCAGTGGTCGACAACACCAGCAACTGGGCAGTATGTGGGAAGAGCTGTGGTGTTATCTCCATGCCCGTGGCAGCCCAGGCCACTCACCGAGTGCACATGGAAGTGATGCCTCTCTTCGCGGGCTACCTCCCCTTGCCTGACGTCCGCCTGTTTAAGTACCTCCCGCACCACTCTGCACACTCCTCCCAGCTGGACGCTGGTAAGGGCCCCGCAAGACCCAGGCTGCACTTCCTGATTGGCCCAGCCCAGGCGGAAGGCATCCTGGGCCGATGCATGTTTACTAAGCCCGACTTCAGCTGTCCTGACCAGCCACACTTCCTGGAATGTGGCCAGGCACTGTCCTTGGCTTTGGCCGGGCAGAGTCCTCTCGCCCACTCCTGTTTATGACAAAAGAGCTCACTGCCACAAATGGCGACATCCACAGAATGCAGGCAGCAGAGGACGCTGTTGCACCGGTCACTCCCGGTGGAGTGGGGGTGAGGGCCCAAGACACGAGACTGCATGGTAGCCCAGGAGGTCAGAGTTCGGGTCCCAAGGACAGTTCCCCACACATGTGTTGCTTTAGCTCTGTCATAGGTGGAACACTCCTAAGGCAGAGCCATAGGAGAGGTTCGTGCCGTGCAGGGCAGATGTGAGAGTTACTCAGCTGCCGACAGAGACTAACCTGAGGCCTAGCCTGCTGGCACCGTCTCAGCATGTGTCCGGGGCTGCGTCTTGGTGCCAGGTGCCCTGTACGGGCAGGCTCTGGGGTGACGTCCTTCCCGAGCGAGGTCCACTGGGGTAACGAGAACAATGGTCCCTCTTATTATTGTGCCAGGGCTTGTTCTCACTTCCCATGTGTTCTGCAGACAGCTGGATCGAAAATGACAGCCTGTCGGTGGACAAGCACCCGGACGACCAGCTGGACTGCAGCAGTGTGCGGAGTAGAGGCAGCGTGCACTCGGCCGCCAGCGGCGAGCACAAGGGCCTGCCCATGCCCCGGCTGCAGGCACTCCCCACTGGCCAGGTCTTCAACTCCAGCATGGGCACGCAGGTCCTGGTCATCCCCAGCCAAGATGACCATGTCCTGGAAGTCAGCGTGACATGACAGCAGCACTTTGGTCGTCTGGCGCCACAGACTGCTGTGATTGCACTTTAGGGACTGTGACTGGATTGCTCTCGTCGTAACATGCTAGCTCTACCCACACTTGGCAGCCCTGCTTGGCCACAGAGGTACCAGAGAATGGCACTGTGCAGCCGGTCAGCAGAGGCAGCATGTCCCCTCATGTTGTCTGCCATACAGGACCCTTGTTCTTTTCTTACCCCTTCCCTGTGCTGGTGTCTGACCGTTCTGCTCCAAGCCCTACTCCTCCACTCACATAACCGCTGCTGCAGGACTGTTAGCCCGGCTTCCACGCAGCCCCATCTGCTGGCTCCGCATGGAAGCCTGTGTCCTCACTGGCCCCTGTGATGCCCGTGTGCTCCTCTGGTCACATGGCTGCTCAGCTTCCGGACTGCCTGGGAGAACGTGGGGTCTTCTGATCACCGACCCCTCTTTCCTCCAGGAACGCCCTTCAGGGCCAGTGGGTGGTGTGTGGGCGGGTCTGGAGGGACCGACCCCTTCTGTGCCTTGGGATGCCAGGCAGCTGACCAGGAGAGCCACGGGCTGGAGCCCTGTAAAGGTCCTTGAGAAGGACTAGGCCAGGGCGCAGGAGCAGGGCAGCGCGGAAATAGTGTAGGTATAAATGTTTCTGGTCCCTGTGTTCCCCACTGTTGATCGAATATCATATGCACTTGGAATTAAATATGTATTTATTTTAATTGTCATTATGTTTGTGGGGTTAGTATGTTATTTGCCTTTCTCTCATCTTCAGAGTCTCTTCATGTAATTGTGGCTGTAGAATCAGCATCTTCCTTTTGCACCTTAAGTCTTAGCTGATACTCGAGTGAAGTGAGGAGTACGGGTCCTCATGCTGTGTCCTAGGCCAGCTGTGGGGGACTGGGCCTGCAGTAACCTCTGCTGGTCCACTCGGTTGCAGTCAGACCGTACCTTCAGGCTCATTTACTTTCGGTTGTAAATTTAATTGTACATATGGTTGATTTATTATTTTTGAAAGTACAGACTGATGTAATGTTTAAGTTGCACCAAAAATCAAGGACGAAATAAATAAGTGTTTTTATTGGTGTGAAAGTCGAAGCTTGTAAGTAAGTGTTGTATATATTAACCCTTTAGCAGCTCTCCAAAGCAATGTATTTTTGTACATGTGAATAGAGTGCTCTGGATTTGCTGGCACGGGGTGCTTGGAACCCAGCTTGACCAGATGAACGCAGGCAGACGCAGTGGGGTCCAGCAGGGCCGGACCTCGGGAACAGCCCAGAGGTAGGAGTTGGGAGCGCCGGCCATGGTGACCAAGCAGTCTTCGTCAGTATTCTGTGTTGGCCTTTGCCTCAACCTTAAACAAAGGTGTGATCTTCCCCTTGGTGTTTTCAGTTCTAGGAATTGGAAAAATGCGTGAGGAAGAGAGATATCCATGTGCTTAAACTTTTTGGAAATCTATCTTCCTCATGTGTGGTTTACAGCTAATAAATGTGGGTGGGTCCACCTGGTTAGGCAAATTAGAACTTGAGACTAATGAAAAGTTCAGGGTCTCAGAAATAAGGTTTCTGCTGTAAGAGGTGCTGGATGCTTGCCTTACAGTCCTGTGAACCGGGGGTTCTCTGACATCCAGTGCTGGCAGAGAAGTATACATCCCTGCTGCCAGCGCGGAGCTGTGTGATACGCAGCGCAGTTTCCCTCCCACCAGAGATAGCCCAGGAACCGGGGCTTATTCATCACTCTGGTTTTCTAGTATCTGAGCACTCTCAAGATACAATTTTCTGATTAAAAATGTTTGTGGTCCTTTCTTACCTGGAAACTCAAATCAGAACTATCACAGATTCCTCCCCCAGTTACCTCTCTTGTGCAAACTAAGATAAATGCTTCTGCCTTTTTTTCCCTTAAGACAAAAGAATGTCACTAAAAAGCTAAAAGTCCTCCGTGTTAACAGTCACACAGTAAGAGGAGGCTGTTGCTGGGTTTGGGTTGTGAGGCTCTGTATTCGAGAGGGCTGATTTTGTTGACTCAGGTGTGGCAAATGTTGAAAAGTTGAGAAGCCAGGTACACAGTGTGTTATGTCAAAACCAGAATATGCAGCTGCTTTACAGGGAACCTGTAGAATGTGTAAATATAATGAAAAAGAAGATCAGTTATAATTTTTGTGAATTTCGTGGGGCTTCCTGTGATTGGAAAGATTATAACTCCTCTGGTCTAAGGTGGGGATTGTGTTCGGTCTGAGAATGATTTCCGTTTACATGGTCAGCTCAGCCTGGGACGGTGGGATTCGTGTGTTAGTCCTGGCTGTGGATGGTGTCTCATAAAGATCACTTTCTTTTTTTTTTTTTTTTTTTGGTACCGGGAATCGAACTAGGGTCCTTGTGCTTGCAAGGCAAGTGACAGAACCACTGAACTAAATCCCCAGCCCAAAGATCACTTTCTTTAGGGTTTAAAATAGGGTTAAATTTTATTACCTAATTTTTTTTGGGGGGGGGTACCGGGGATCGAACTCAGGACCTTGTGCTTTCAAGGCAGGCAGCGGAACCACTGAGCTGAATCCCCAGCCCTTTAGGTTAAATTTTAAAAGTAAATGAAACACACCAGGTTTGTATCTAAGATGAAAAGTGATGCTGCTTTTAACAGAACTAACTGTGATCTTTAAATCTTTAAATTTTACTTTTCGCGAACATGTTCCTTTCTCTAAATTCCCAGGCTCCTTACAGTTTAACACGCGGGGCTTCTGTGCCTGGGGAGGTGACCCGTGGGCTCAAGGTGTTAATTCCACTCTCATGGTTTACTATGGAAAGTCATTTTTCACACTGTTCTAACTGTAATACAATGTTAGACTAAAACCACTGTATGAAGACTGTTTAAAATGTAAACATAATGCTGAAAATACACATTTTAAGAAGAAACTGCTCTGAACGTGATTCTTTCGCGATGACAGGGCGAGGAGTTGCAGGTTTGCTCATGTTTCGTCCCAGAGCCTTGTTTGAGTCTCCGGTGTGGCCTGCTGACTTTGTGGGACACGGTGGGGAGTTTTCATAATTTCCTACCCGGTAACGCCAGGAACTAGACCTGAACCCCGGGCCTTCGTCTACGAACTCTCCGGCGCCTGCGAAACCCTGGTCTAAGCTTAGTTCGGGGCCCCGCCCTTCTTGGCCCTGCCCAGGCAGCGGCACCGAGCCCCGCCCAGAGGGTAGGGCGGGGGCGGGGGAAAGCTGCCGGGGGCGGAGCCGATTCGGGCCCTCCCTGGGGCGGGGGGCGTGGCCCCCGCCCCGGAAGTGCGTAGTAGGCGTTCCGTCCCGGAAGTCGCTGGGGGCTCGGGTGCACACGTGCGGCTGCGCGATGAAGTTCGCGTACAGGGTGAGCGGGGGACGGCGCGGGAAGGATGGCCGCGAGGCGGGACGCTGCGGGTCGTGGGAGGGCGCCGCCGGGACAGCTCAGGGCAGCCCCGATCTGACCCGTGTCCCTGGCCCGGCGAACCGCGGGGGAGCCGGAAGTGCAAGGAGCGGGAGGCAGATGGAACGGGCCGCGAGGACCCAACCCGGGTAGCCCTGGGGTGCGTGACGTGTGGCTCCTCTGGGAGTGGATCACGGCCCAGGCCCGCTCCCCCGTCACGCTCGCAGGCTGCGCTTTCCTGTTCAAGCCTCAGCTGGGTTGCTGGGCCATCATCTCATTCGCCTGTCCATACTTGGCCTAGTTCTGCCCCTGAACGCGCTGCTCCCCAGCAGCAAATCCAAAACCACAAGGCTAGGGCCGGGGGTTTAGCTCAGTGGTGCGCTTGCCTCACAAGCACGAGGTCCCGAGTTCGATCACTGGTACCCCCCTCCCTCCCCGCCAGAAATACCCAAAAGCAAAACCACAAGGCAGCACGAATGCGCCTTGGGTCGTTGGACACCTCTGCTTAGAACACAGGGTCTGGCATGGAGTCCTCAGCCGCGGTTCACCCAGAGCCCCAGATGCTGGCCTAGCTGGCTGCTCGTCCGGGTTCTGGCTCCCACGGACTTTTAAGCACTCTCCCTCTCCCCTTTAAGCAGCTCCTCCCTCCCATGCTACCTCTTTGCACTTCAGAACCTGTTTGTATGCTTCTTGCCCCTCCTGCTAGGTGTAGAATAGGAAGAGGTACAGATGTACCCCTCCTGGTGCTGTGTAACCAATGCTCCTGTGATGCACCAATAAATACGATGTTAGCTATGGGTCTGTCCTGGGGCTCTGTTCTACTGTTGCGGCTTTTCATTGGTGAAACCTGGATCCTGTTCCCTTTGCCTGGCAAGTGCCTCCTGCCTTGGGCACTTCTTAACCCTCCATAGGAGCCCTGGGTTCTGGGGATTGGGTTAATGTCTTCCTCTCGCCCAGGGATGAGCAGGGACCCAGCCTCGGGGCCCTGTGTTTCATCTTTGGCCAGATGCCTCACTTTACTCTTCCCAGGGAGTGGAGACTATTTTCTTTGTGTTAAGACAGCTTATTTTCTTTCCAGTTCTCAAATTTGCTAGGTACAGTTTATCGGCGTGGAAACTTAAATTTCACCTGCGATGGAAACTCAGTTATCAGCCCCGTGGGGAACAGAGTCACTGTGTTTGATCTTAAGAAGTAAGTACACTGAAGTGTGGGATTCATGGTGTTGGAAACTGTGACCTCACACGGAGGCTGATGGTGCCCCTCACCTGCCTTTTCATGGGATGCACGCCCATTGAGGCTCAAGGGTTTGGCAGGGTCGTGGGTTAGCAGTGGAACTGCCTGCTGGGTGCGATTTTCTGGTGTCTCAGCTAAGCCTTGTCTGGTGTTTGTTGCCTGTCAAGGTTAAAGCCACGTGTCACCTGACTCAAGTTACCCAGGAAGGGACCCTGCTTCTCCTGTGGGCAGGAGATGCAGCTGGAGGTTAGCACTTGCTGCTGTGAGGCCAGCTGGACCCCTGCTTGCTCAGCAGCCCTGATGGTGTTGGGCTTGGTGGGCTGGGTGGGCAGTCCCCACCCAGAGGTCGATTTGGGTTGCTTAGGTTTAGCTGTTTCTTCTGAAGGAACATGAGGCTCCCTTCCTATCTCGATTGCTTCCAGAGTTGCCAGGGAAGCTGTGGGCCAGTCCTGCAGCCTGGGCACCTCGTCTTTGTTTGGAGGCTTCCAGGTTCCTCTCTCTTGCCCTACAGCTCCAGCAGGGTGGCCCTCTTTCCCTCCCTGTGACATGGGTCGGCAGTGGTGCTTGCTCTGCTTACAGTCAGAGGTGATGACTGCTCCCGTCTTGTTGAAGTGGCACCTAGTGAGGGCTGCCTAGAGGGGTGGGAAAGTGCTGGCTGAGGGCAGTCAGGCAATAAAATACTGCAGCTGGAACCCGGATACAGCACCTAGCAGTGGACTTCATTGGTACTGCTTATTTTTCTCTGTATTTTCCTATTTCGCTGAAAACCTGGCTTTCTGTGCCTGTGCTGTTGCAGTGTGTGCTGTGCGCTGGGTGTGTAGCTTGTCCGGTTTCCTGACTTGATGTGGTGCACAGTGTCCTCGGGTCCACCGTTTAGGCGTCACTGTGTCTTGCCAGTCCTCCTCTGGGGTCACTGTTGTTTCCCATGAACTCTGGCACACGGGGTCCAGAGGCATGGGACAGGCATGGCACAGAAAGGGGACTAGCGGGGAGGGCAGGCTACTGGGCCCAGGCTGGCCCTATCCCCCGGTCTAGTGACACAGAACCCACTGCACACTGTGCTTCTTCTTTTTCTCAGCAATAAATCCGATACCCTGCCCCTGGCCATGAGCTTCAATGTGAAGTGTATGGGGCTGTCCCCTGATGGCCGGCTGGCGATCATCGTTGATGAAGGTGATCACCCGTCATCATCTTGGTGTGGGCAGGGCTGAGAGAGGAAGGGCCAGGCACGGGCGCGGCAGGGGTGAGGAACAGGCCCTCCCGGGATGGGCACGGGCTGAGGTGGCCCCTGCCATCTCTGGGTCTGGGTCTGCTGGGGCCTGGGTGCAGCTGCTTAGGTGGGCTGGGCATCCCTGTGCCCGTGCCAGTGCATCACTGGGAGCACAGCTGGGCTTCATGGCCTTCGGGCCCACATTCCAGGCGCGAGCAGGCACACCCAGCTCCTCCCTGTTTCAGCTACATAGGCTCTAAGGTGAACGTTAGCGTGTCGGGCTGCGGGGTCCCTGTGTGGCCGCCAGGTCACACGCTGGCCTCTTGGCAGGGGGCGCTGCGCTGCTGGTCAGCCTGGCCTGCAGGTCCGTGCTGCACCACTTCCACTTCAAGGGCTCTGTGCACAGCGTCTCCTTCTCCCCGGACGGCAGGTGAGAGCAGCGATGGCCAGGCCGACCTCCATGTCCTCCCGCTGGGGCTCTGGGCAGTCGCCTGGGCACGTGGCCAGCCTGTGTCTGCCCTGGCCTCTTCCGCACTGTCTCGGGTGCTCTCGGGACCCGGGGTGGGCTGGGGCTGGGAGCTCTGCGTGGTCCAGGCTGCTGTTGGCCCTCACTGTTGTCTACGTCCTTCCTCCTGCAGGAAATTTGTTGTTACAAAGGGCAACATCGCTCAGATGTACCACGCCCCTGGGAAGAAGCGAGAATTCAACGCATTTGTGCTGGACAAAACCTACTTTGGGCCATATGACGAGACCACGTGCATCGACTGGACAGATGACTCCAGGTGAGGCCCGGCTCCGGCTCCCTGGAAGGAGGACTCCTCCTCCATCCCGCGAGCCTCATGTGCCTTGGGTCCCTGCTGGAGATGTCACATTTCCATGGGTGCTGTCGGGGGCTAGGGAGCTGCCAGACGCTGCCACTTCAGGGCCACCATTCCTGACCACCGATGACTGTCCCTAGCCCGAAGATGCCTGTGGAGTGGCTGGCCTTTCTTCCCCTACTCTGTGTCTGGCCTTGCAGGGAAAGGCTGCTGGTGCCTTGGGTTTGCTCAAGGGACCAGCGCTGTCCCTGCACCACTGTGGCTGCCAGGGTGATGCAGGCTGTGCGTCTGTCATCTCAAGAGTGTCCTGCCTCAGTGAGCGACACTATTGGTGCCATTCACAGAGCTGGCTCACATCGGGATCTCAGGCTGCACCTGGGGCCTCAAAGGAGCCACTTCTGTTCCTGGGACAGCCAATGAGGCCACGTGGCCATGGCCACTGTGCAGCAGCTGTGTCCCTCTGTTCCAGGTGCTTTGTAGTCGGGAGCAAGGACATGTCCACCTGGGTGTTCGGAGCCGAGCGCTGGGACAACCTCATCTACTACGCACTAGGCGGGCACAAGGATGCCATTGTGGCCTGCTTCTTTGAGTCCAACAGCCTGGATGTATGTCCTGGGCCCAGGATCCTTAGCCCAAGGGTGACCTGGGGACAACTGAGTGGCTGAGCACAAGACCCTGCTGAGCCCCTCTTGGCTGCTTCTAGGGTGCCTGGGGGACCTTTGGGGCCCGTTTAGGGGGTGGGGGTTAGTGGGTCTGGCCTGGGAGGCCAGCTGGAGAGCGGGTTCTTGGACTGGAGGTGGACTGGGTGACCTGTGTCCGCCCTGCGTGTCCCCTGCAGCTATACTCGATCAGCCAGGATGGGGCCCTTTGCGTGTGGCAGTGTGACACCCCGCCTGAGGGCCTGAGGCTGAAAGCCCCTACCGGCTGGAAGGCGGACCTGCTGCAGCGGGAGCAGGAGGAAGAGGAGGATGAGAGACAGACCACCATCCGAGGGAAGGCCACAGTGGCCGAGGAGGAGAGGAAGGGGAAAGTGAAGTACCTGCGGCTGGCCAAGTGGGTCTGCGGGCAGGGCTGAGGTATGAGCCAGGGTGAGGGGCAGGGTCCAGGGTCCGGCCCCCACACCCTCACCAATCTGTGCAGGTACTTCTTCAACAAGGAAGGAGACTTCAACAACCTGACCTCTGCGGCCTATCACAAAAAGGTCCACCTCCTGGTCACGGGCTTTGCGTCTGGCAACTTCCACCTGCACGAGCTCCCGGAGTTCAACCTCATCCACTCCCTGAGGTGAGCCCTTTACACCGGGCTCCGCACCCACTCACCTTGCACCCTGAAGGCTGGTGAGCCCCTTGTTCTGGCCATGGGCTTTGGTCTCAGAGCAGTGTTGTGGCATTGTTGTTTTGCTGTGGCTCCAGAGGTTGAACCCAGGGAGCCTGGGCTGCATCCATAGCCCCTTTCAGGTTTTTATGTCAAGACGGCCCTCACTACGTTGCCCTGGCTGGCTTCGACATTTGAGATCCTCCTGCCTCTGTGTCCATGTGGCTGAGGGTACAGGTGGGCACCAATGTGCCCGCTGGCATTTTTTTTTTTTTTTTTGTCATCCTTTTTCCTTTAACCTTCCATCTCTGGAACACAGAGGAAGTTAGAGTGCTGGCCGCACACTCGCTCTGCCGCCGAGCCCGGGGAGGGAAGAGGCAGCTGGGCATGCTGGATACCCCTGCTCACCTGTCCCTCACTTTCCTCAGCATCTCAGACCAGAAGATCTCCTCCATCGCCATCAACAGCTCTGGGGACTGGATCGCCTTTGGGTGCTCGGGTTTGTTTCCTGGCCCAGCTGTAGTGTGGACCTGGTCAGGAGCCAGGGAACCTTGGGGCCCAGCAGTGTGGGGCCTGTGGGAGGCAGTGAGGCTCCCAGGGGTTTGCTCCGAGTCCTGGAGCCCATGTGTCTTGTGGGAATCTTGGTCCTTGGTGGAGGCTGCCTTCAGGGCCCTGGCCTGTGCCCTGCCCCCTGCCAGGTGGGGCTGCTCTCCATGCCTGGTCCTCCTCAGCCCTAGCAGGGGGTTGACGCAGGGTTACAGGGTCAGTCAGGGCACTGGTGGGCCTTCTCTGTCCTGGTCTGTGTCAGGGCAGGTGAGCTAGCCACCCTGTGCCCACAGGCCTGGGCCAGCTGCTGGTGTGGGAGTGGCAGAGCGAGTCCTACGTGCTCAAGCAGCAGGGCCACTTCAACAGCATGGTGTCACTGGCCTACTCCCCTGATGGGCAGTACATCGTCACCGGCGGGGATGATGGCAAGGTGGGTAGGGCTCAGATTCGAGTGGAGAGGGCTTGGTGTGCATGTGCCGCCCTTTCTGCACAAGCATGTGTTCTTCACCCTCCTCCCCGTCATCCACCACTATAGGGAAGGGGAAGGGGACTTTGCCAGAATCTCTGCATGGGGCCTGGCCTCCTGTGAGTCACCACAGCACAAGGCAAAATAATAAAGACAGAAAACGAGACTTAGAGTGAAGCTGAGTCTGGGGCCTGATCACTGCTGCTGATGGCAGCAAAGACAAAGGCCCCCATGCTCACCCACTTCACAGACTGGGTCTCCTGGGCAACTGTTGGGGGAGGGGGCTATGCTCGCCCAGTCCGCCTGCTGACAGCCCATCTGAGCCACTAGGGCTTTGGTCTGACTCCTGATATAAAACAGTATAGCCCAGTTAGGGAAGGCAAGAAGCACGTGCCACTTACAGCGCGCTAGTCCTGTGCAGGGATGACTCGTACACACCACCAGGTGCCCTGGGTCCTCCCACAAGGGTGCTCACCTCGGTGGCTGTACCCACCCACTTCCTGTGCCCCCAAGGTCAAGGTGTGGAACACCCTCAGTGGCTTCTGCTTCATCACTTTCACGGAGCACTCAAGCGGGGTCACTGGCGTGACCTTTACTGCCACTGGCTATGTCATCGTGAGCTCCTCCATGGACGGTACTGTGCGAGCCTTTGACCTTCACAGGTGAGGCCCTGCTCCTTGGGCCGGGACTTGGGCATGGGGATCCGGTGGTGAGAGCGGCACAGACCCCCGTCATGGGCTGCTGACCTGGGCCTGGCTTTCTTGGCAGGTACCGGAACTTCCGGACGTTCACGTCTCCCCGCCCCACCCAGTTCTCCTGTGTTGCTGTTGACTCCAGCGGGGAGATTGTCTCTGCGGGTGCCCAGGACTCCTTCGAGATCTTTGTGTGGTCCATGCAGACGGGCAGGCTCCTTGACGTAAGGACCAGTGTCTCCTGGCCGTGTTTTGCAGGGGCTGGGTGGCCCAGGGTCACCTGGGAGCTGAACAGACCAGGGCATTGAGCAGCATGGCAGGGAGGCCTGGCCTGGGGGCGCAGCAGCTGCTTGTCACCGTCACCTCCAGCCTCTCTCTGCCACAGGTCTTGTCTGGTCATGAGGGCCCCATCAGCGGTCTGTGTTTCAACCCAACGAAGTCTGTCCTGGCCAGCGCCTCCTGGGACAGGACAGTGCGCCTGTGGGACATGTTTGACAGCTGGAGGGCTAAGGAGACGCTGACCCTCACTTCCGACGGTGAGCCAAAGCTGCATGTCACTGCCGTGGTCCCAGTCTGGTCCCCACGTACAGGGTGGGGGTGACACCCCACTCAGACCAACAGCAACAGGAAGTCCGTGCCGTATGGCTTGTGTTGTGTGTTGCCTTTGAGTGGCAGCACTCTGTGCCCCCAGGAGGATGAGGCTGCTTTTGGGTCCTGCTGCCCCTCCTTTCTCAAGCCCCTGCAGGCAGTCACGGGCCAGCTCCCTGAGGCCCTCGTCTCGGTCCCCTCTGCATGTCGCTGTCCCTGGAATAACCTCACCCGCAAGCGAGCCTTTGTGTCCAACCTGTGGCACCTTGTGGATAGGCCACGCCCTCCGGGCCTGGTCGGCCAAGGTGGCCAGCGGTGCCCAGCTCTCAGCCTGGGTGGCTGTGCCCTTGTCCCCCAGGGCTGTTGCAGGGCACTTCTTGCCTCTTGGGATGTCCGCAGTCTTCCTCGGGTCTGAGGTGCCCTCTCCCTAGCCCTGGCTGTGACGTTCCGGCCCGATGGTGCGCAGCTGGCTGTGGCCACGCTGAGCTCACAGATCATCTTCTGGGACCCTGAGAGCGCTGTGCAGACGGGCTCCATCGAGGGCAGGCACGACCTCAAGACAGGCCGGAAGGAGCTGGACAAGATCTCAGCCAAGCACTCTGCCAAGGGCAAGTGAGTGGTGGTGCTGCCTGGTGGGAGGGGTGTGGGCGCGCGTGGCCCGGGGACTTGTCTGCCCAGCTTCCAGACCCAAGTCCCTGCTCCTCTCTGGTGGTGTCCTTCACTCCTGCGGGCGCAGACACCTGAGTGTGAGATCCCAGCCCCGCGGGCCCACTGGGAGGATTGGGCTTTGCTGGGTGAAGGGCACAGCCTGGTGCCGGAGTCCGTTTCCAGACCTGCATCTCCAGAGCTGGTCAGCCTGGTGTGGAAACAAGCACAGAGCAGCCCGGGTGCCCTTGTCCCACTGGGAGGGATGCCCCACCCGACACACTGCCCCTCAGCCAGCCTGGCCCTGGGTGCAGGCACAGCAGGGCGTCGGCAGGCGGCTGAGCCTGGGCGTGTACCCAGGGTGATACTGGGTCTAGGCCTTCCCCGGAGCATCCTGAGTAGGGAAGCGGTGGGGAACACCATGTTCGGCCTGACCAGCGTGTGCGGTGGTCGTGTCACGGGTTCCCCTGGGCTGTGACCCTCATCCTCACCACCACCTGCTTCCCCTCCTTGACCTGGTCTGGGGGCAGAGTTGTGTCCTGGTTAAGGGCTGACTCGCTCGCTGCTCACTGGCCGTGTTTCCTGGAGAGGGTGCTCTCGGGCTTCCTCCCCTCTTCTGGCTGGGGCCTGGTGCCTGGGCTCTGTGGCCTGTGGAGAAGTTTTTCAGGGGAGGTTTTCCCCCATGCTGGGCGCTGTCTTCCCACCTCTTGGGGTGTTCTCGCCACGAGCTTTAGGTTTGGGAGCCCCGGCCTCTGGACAGTCTTCATTGCCCTCCATGGTCTTGGTGTCATAGCTGAAGAGCTGTGCTGGCCCAGGTTCTGCAGCACCGGCAGGGCTGCCTGCGGGTGCTGCAGGCTGGGTCCCCACACGCTGCTGGTGGGCGCGGTGTGAGGCCTCTGGGGGGACTGTCCTCGAGCCGGTTCCCAGAGAGCACTGGGCGCTGTGTCCCCACCAGGGCTTTCACCACGCTGTGCTACTCGGCGGACGGCCAGTGCATCCTGGCGGGGGGCATGTCCAGGTTCGTGTGCCTCTACCATGTCCGCGAGCAGATCCTGGTGAAGAGGTTCGAGCTCTCCTGCAACCTTTCTCTGGATGCCATGGAGGTGAGTGGTGGGCCCGGGCAGCAGGGCCAGGCTGTCCTGTTAGCACATGGGCCAGGGCCGCAGCCTGGCGAGGGGTCTGGGACAGGGAGTCCCAAGCCTGATGGAGCGCAGGACACGTGCACAGCCTCCACCCCACCTGTGCGCCTGGCCCTGCCCGGAGGCTCTTCCCGCTCTGCTCCCCCAAATAAAGCCTCTGGCCAGTTGTTGGTTGCTGGGTTCACTGCTCGGGGCACCACCTTGTGTGCATGCCCGGAGCACCCTGTGCTGGTGCTGGTCCTGTGCAAAGCGCCCTTGGCTGTTTCCTGAGGCAGCGAGCGGCTGCCCTCGAGTGCGGGGCACACGTCCTGGCTGTGGCGACCCCATCTGCAGGCCCCAAGGAAGCTTCTGAGATGGGCCCCCAGCACCCCTTCGTCTCTGTCCCTGTAGGGGCACATGAGGGAGAGGGGGTGACCAGGGCCGCGTACCCACGGCCTTTGCTGTCCTAGGAGTTTCTGAACCGAAGAAAAATGACAGAGTTTGGCAACCTGGCGCTCATTGACCAAGACGCTGGGGAGGACGGCGTTGCCATTCCGTTGCCAGGGGTGCGGAAAGGTGAGCAGAGACTTCTATGTCCTGTCCTCCGCCACTTTCCTGTGGTGGCCGTCCTCCCTTGCTTGGGCTGTGGTGTGTGGAGTGGGTAGCTGTTCCATATCATGGCATCTTGCTGGATGCTGGGCACCTGCAGAAGACCTGCCCAGAGGGCCCCATGCATTTGCTCCAGGGCCGAGTGCCCCTCTGTTGCATGGGGCACGGACTGGGCCTCCATACTCAGGCCACCTGGTTCCCAGGGGGACCGTCCCGATGGGGCAGCCATTAGCCAGAATGCTGGTGGGGCACCCTGGGGAACCATAGCCCTGGGCTGGCAGGGCCCCTGTGCAGCCTGTCCCCAGGCACAGCTCTGTGGAGGCCAGCGGGGCTTGACTGGCTCTTCAAGCCAAGGCTTTCCCAGGTGGCCAGCAGGGGGCAGCCTGGAGCTGCCTCCAGAGCCTGCAGCTGGCTCTCTTTGCCAGGTGACATGAGTTCTCGCCACTTCAAGCCTGAAATCAGAGTGAGCTCCCTGCGCTTCTCTCCCACCGGTGAGCCCTGCGTCGTGGTGTTGATCCTGACAGCTTGGGGGTCTTAATGCAGGGACAGGGCCGGTCACGGCAGCTGGCGGGCTCTGGATGGCACTGTCCCCATAGGGTAGAAACGGGACACAGAACCACACTGGCTCCGTGGTTGCCTCATCCCTGAGGACGGACAGCTTGGAGGATCTGGTCCCACTCCTCACAGGCCGGGGTCCAGGGCTAACCTCAGTGGCCGCTTGCCCACCTGGCCCCTCACACACACATGGGGTTCGGCCCAGTGGGGCCGTGGGGCCTCTGATGCCCTTGGTTCCCACGGCAGAGCAGCGGCAGCCAGTGCTCCAAAGCAGGGTTGGGTGGGAAGGTGAGATGCGTATGGCTCCCTGGAGTGTCGCTGTGTCTTGTGAGCCCTGCATCCACACGCTGGGCCCAGGGCCCACGGCCCACATCTGCGCACTCTCCTGTTCTTGCAGCTCAGGTTTTTTGATGCAGCCACCTTTGTTTGTTCCCATGGTTTTTTTTTGTTTGTTTTTTGGGTTTTTTTTGGTACTGGGGATTGAACTTGGGACCTTGCATTTGCGAGGCAGGAGCTGGAACCACTGAGCTAAATCCCCAGCCCTGTTCCCATGTTTTGCTTGCGGCCACATCCCAGGCACGGTGGTGGCCTGGAGCAACGGCAGCAGGGACCGTGTGGCACCTATGTGGCAGGGGCACGCGCGGGTGTCACGTTCCGTCCTCCCTGGAGGATGTCGGGGTCCCCCGGAGCCTGGACCATCAGCTGTGCTCTTAAGGGCGCGGGAGGGAAGTGCGCCTCTGGGTCTTGAGCAGGCCTCCACTGCTCACCCTAGGGCGCTGCTGGGCGGCCACCAGCACAGAGGGGCTGCTCATCTTCTCCCTGGATGACCGGATGCTCTTTGATCCCTACGAGCTGGACACCAGTGTCACCCCCGGGCGGGTGCGCGAGGTGCTGCGGCAGGGGGAGTTCACCCGCGCCATCCTCATGGCTTTCCGGCTCAATGAGCGGACGTTGATGCAGGAGGCGCTGGAGGCCGTGCCCTGGGCGGAGAGTGAGTGTGCATGTGAGGGCTGTGGGCGGCGGGCGGTGGGTGGTGGGCGGCGGCTCCTGCTCCTGCGGTCTCTCTGCGGAGCAAACGCGCCTTTCCTACCCTTGCAGTCGAAGTGGTCAGCGCGTCTCTGCCTGAGCTGTATGTGGAGAAGCTGCTGGAGTTTCTAGCCTCCTCCTTCGAGGGGTGTCGGCACCTGGAGTTCTACCTCATCTGGACCCAGAAGCTACTGACGCAGCACGGGCAGAAGCTGAAGCCCAGGTGCGCTGCGCTGCACTGCGGTCCCGGCCGCCTCGTGGGTGTGAGGCCATGTGTCACAGGTCTTGCTCAGCAGCGTCTCCCTTCCAGGGCGGGCCAGCTGCTGCCTACGGTCCAGTTCCTGCAGAAGGGCGTCCAGCGGCACCTGGAAGACGTGGCCAAGCTGTGCGTGTGGCGGGTGGGCGGGCCTGGCGGGAGGGCGGGACTCATGCTGTGGCCTCAGGTTCCAAGCTCCATGCCATGCCACTCGGCTCGAGGACTCCTGCTCGTTAGGTGGGCGGTGACCAGTTTTGTTCGGTGATGCCACGGGCACGTGTCGAGGCTTGACAGCCCGCTGCCAGAGGCGGCCACTCTGTACCTGTATCCCCAGCAGGGTCACAGGGTGATGGCCACAGCACATGAGGGGAGGGGCTGGGGTTAGTGCTGCCCACCACCTGCTCTCCGCAGGGACGCCCCGCCACGCACGCCAGGGGCTTCCTGTCCCCAGGTCAGCCCTCCCCCAAGCAGAGCCGAGGCGGTGACGACCGCATAGCTTGCCTGTTGGGGCCATGTCCTTCCCATTCCCGCGGGGCTCTTGCCAGGTGTTCCAGCTGGGCTCCTGAAGGACCCATTCTGCCCTGTCCATTTGTCCCTTTGTCTTTTTTGCTGTATAGTCTAGGCTGGTCTTGAGCTTGTTATGTAGTCCAGACTGGCCTTGAACTTGGGGTTCTCCTCCCTCAGCCTCCCAGGTGCTGAAGTTACAGGTGTGCACTGTTGTGCCCAGGTACCCCTGTGTCTTTGCAGTGAGTCTCAGAGTCCAGACAGGCTCTTCCTCCACATGCCCTTTCTTCCTGGTACCCTGCGTGCTGGTGGGGCTTGGTGTTGATGTCCTGCTCCAGGAGATGGCCGGGTGCCAGGCCTTCCCACGGCTCTGGTGGGGGCCCACCTGTCAGTTTGGGCTGACATGCAGCTGTGCGCTGGCTGTGTGTGGGTGTGGTAAGGGTTGTGCACGCACAGCCTTTAGCCTGCATGCAGGAATGCAGCTTTTCCTGGCCATGCCTTGCCAGGTGGTTATGTGGGAGACAGTGGGCTTTGTCCTGTTACTACAAGGAAGTATGGATTGAGAAGGTGCCCCGTGTCGTGGAGGGACCGGTCAGACACAAAGGGGATCATCTGGGTGGGAAGAGAGGACACAGGTGTGTCTGGTCCCTGCTGGGAGGGTGCAGGGCCAGGCTTTTGGGAGCTGAGGCAGTGGACCCTTGCGCTGACCCGATGCTTTGTGTCCACAGCTGCGACTGGAACCGCTACAACATCCAGTATGCCCTGGCAGTCTCCAGGCAGCGGGGCGTGAAGCGCACCCTGGAAGCACCGGGGGCGGAGGAGGAGGACAGTCTGCACTTGATCCGAGGGTCAGAGGACGAGGGAGAGGAGGCGATGCTGGCTTAGCCGACTTCTGTGGAGGACACAAGCTGTGACAGGGAGGGCTGGGTCACCCCGAGATGCTGTTGTGGAGGACCCGCTGCCGAGACAGCCACTTGCACACCCCATAAACCTGGCTGGCGGCCTGGCAGACCTGTGCACAGCGGGCCCAGGCTGTCTGCAGGTGGTAGTCAGTGCCCTTTTCAAGGTTTTGTGTGAGTTATGTATATTTTTAATACAAAATCCTGGGGATGAACTCCAGAAATGCACGACTGAGTGTAAACTGAGTTAACAGTGTTTACAACGCCCTGGGTGAGCAGGGTTGGATGTTGGAGGGGAACACGGGGTCCTCCCGAGGCAGGTCAGCCTCCCCGCCAGCTCCAAGCCCTGCCTGTTCTGCTGGTGCGTGTGGTTGGCCTGTCCTGCCTCCTGCTTATCCACAGGGGTCCACAGTTTAGACCCCACCCTCCTCCCGCTCCTGTGGGAGTGGAGCAGATGCCACCTCCCCAGCTGGCCCAGGCAACAAGGGGCAGGAGGGTGCATGTGCCACAGAAGGCACTGGAGCTGTGGCTGTCATGCACTCGGGCTGGGGTGTCTGGTACGTGAGTGTCCGGCCTCCTGGTCTGTGCTCTGAGGATGCAGACCAGAGGTGGGAGAAACTGCTCGGGCCTCAGTCCTGGTGTTTGCTCCTGCACTGTATGTCTCCAGCTGAGGCTGGACAGCCCCTAGCTAGTCCCACACTTCATGACATGCAGTGTCACTCCTCCAGTACCAGGCCTCTTGGTGTCATGTGTGCCCAGTGCTGTGCTGCTGAGCAGGGCTCCGGGGGAAACGTTGGAGGTGGGATGTGCAGTAGAACCACAGCCTCTGCCCTGTGCTCCAGGCCAGCAGGCAGGACCATGGCTAAAGACGAATAGAGCCTTTCCACCTTTGAAGACCGAAGCTGACCAGTGTACTTAGTTGCCCGTCCAGTGATGCACTCTGGTTTCATGGCGTTTTTGTGATGGGGGTGGGACCCAGGGCCTCAGGCAAATGCTGTGCCCAGCCCTCATGTTCTGAACATGCGTTTAAGCCCCTCAACCAGAAGCAAGCCTCATACACAGTTCGTTCCAGTTCTGCGGTCTCCCCACCCCTGCTTCCTCCAGGTCTCCACCTACTCTGCTGCTCCCTGTGGACCCCGCACAGGTGGAGTGGATGTGCCACAGTGGCCCTCTCAGTCCCTGCGTTACCTGGAACCTGGGCTGCTTCAAGACCCCAGGTGGAGCTTCCTGAGGGGGTTCTGCCTGAACAAAGCCCACTGACCCCTGGCCTCCCCTCATCTCCACACAGTGCCTGCACCCCAGACTGCTGGGTGGTACGAGCCTCATGTCTCTTGAACATGAAAGGGGTGCTGTCCATCTTGGGACCCTGAATGACAGCTGATGGGCCGAGTCCCATGCGTGGGCCCGGGGTAGACGTGCAGTTCCGCAGGAGTGGACGGACACTCAGGACTTCTTTTCTTTTTTAAAGATTAACAGTTTATTAGAAATTTCAGGTAACTTTTTGCCTCTGGTTTGAGGCAAGGCAGGCTTCCTGGTTGTACATACATTTATACCACCAAAAGGCACAGGCAGGCTTCCCGAGGCCTCCATAGGATAATAATCAGTTGTACACAGAACATGTGGCAATCTGGTACTAAAGATGCTTCTATAAACTGCATGCATATTTCTGAGCCCCAAAGACAAGTACAATTCCTTGAAGCCTCTTTTTCAAACTGTATCGTGCTCTCTGAAGACTTGCCCTTTATTTCACTTAGAAAATTTTCTGCAGCCTTTTTCTGCAATGCCTGGTTTGAGATGTAATTTAAATAAACTCAGCTAAGGGTAAGCAGCTGCAGTGTAGTCCAACCAATAGAGCCTAAAATCCCTAATGATCTAATTAAAAGCAAGTTAAAGGATGTTGTACTTGACTTTTTGCTTCCTCGGATACCTCACATTTGATTAAAAAGCAAAGAATGTCTACTGTTAACACATTTCAATATGATCAGTTTCAGATCTGATAGTCAAAAGTATTCAAAATAAACCCAAATTAAGAATGAGCACTAAATGCAGATTTCTCCTTTCAGAGACATACATACTCCTTCAAGGAAAGCAAGGTCTTATGCTTGAAATTAGGTTCCCTTGGGAGTAAACAATCTTAGCACCAAGTCAGCAAGAATTGGGGGACACAGGATTTTGAAATCAGACTGTTACGGACAACGCATCTGCTGCAACTTTCCTGATGACAGGTCACTGTCTTTGCAAGGTACCTTTTCATACATAGACATTTTGATGCTGAGTGAAAGGGTGCTTTGACCCCAACCTCTGACAGTATACTTGGCATATCAACGTTTAAATTAAGGCCACTGTTGACTTCCTCATGGGATTTGATTTTTGTCTTCATGTTGTGAAATAAGCTTAATAAAAATTTAAAATATTCTGAATATGTAAACCTGTGTTTATCTCCATACTAGTTGAGATTTTCATCTAAAGTAGAAATTCTGTATACTGGTCTACATGTCAGTCCAGTGGCAATGTCAAGGAAGACTACTGGTATTCACACGGAACGTTTAATATGCGTACAACTCATTGCTTAAAATGAAACTTTCTGTTGATTGAAAGAAGGCCTTCCATCCATCTTCATTGGCGATGTTAACTCCCTTGTTAAAAATGAGTCCAGAGGGGGCTGGGGATTTAGCTCAGTGGTTCCGGCGCCTGCCTCGCAAGTGCATGGTCCCGAGCTCGATCTCCGGTACCAGAAAAAAAAAAAATGAGTCCAGAGATTTTCAGGATGAATAATTCAGAAGATGATGCCCAAGTTTGCCTCCTGCTACCTTCTCTTCCCCATACCTGTTTGGCTGGGCCAGGACTGGCTAAGCAGCTGAACGGTAGTAGTATTCCCTTGGAGAATCTCAACCCTCTCTTCTCCGGCGCGGGTTCCTGATTGTGACCCACGGCTCTGCCCATGCACTCCTCTGTGCCGTGACACTTTCCCCAGCTCAGTTCAGAACGAAGAGCCTGTATGGCAGCACAGTATCACTTCAGTAGGGCAGAAATGAGTGGGAACTCAGATGTTTCTTCCAGTAACAATGTCAAACTCAGTCGTCTTCTCTTTCCCCATTACTTCTCTCTCAGAATACCGGCTGCTGTGGCTGGATTCCTGCCATTATGCGGTGATCTGTTTAGAGTGCTATTCTTGCAGCACCAACTATATGCTTCTTCCTGTACTTTTCCCTGCTCAGAATATCTTCTTGTTAACAGTACATTGTTCTCAGTAAAATAGCGTTACTCAGGTTTCAGCAACCAGAAGGCTCAGGACTTTAACTGTGGACGCGGGTTTGCTGTGGGGCAGATCTTTGGGGTAGTTCGCCAAGAGGGGTTAAATCCATTTGGGGGCGTCTTCAGACAGTGGTTCAACACTGGGTCAGGACAGTAGCCGCGACCCACGTGGGGGGGTCTCACGCTGCAAACCCCTTTCCCCCTGGGGCCACTGCGCAGGCGTGCTCTGCCCGGCGAGTGCGCAGGCGCGGCCTCGCCCACGGCCCAGGGACCTGGCCCGGGCTTCCCTCCCTGCGGCCCGCGTGACCTTTCGACCTCGCTGTCCCCGCACCATGGCCGCTGTCGGGGTCCTGATGGTGCCGAGGCTGGCGGCGGCCTCCGCGCTCGCGCCGCTCTCCGGGCGCCTGCGGCTCCTAGGCGGGCGGGCACCCACCCCGCGCGCGGCCCTGCACGGCACCGCGCCGCGCCCCGGGGCTCGGGTGGCGCTGGTGAGTGCTCCGCTGCCCCCCAGCGTCCCCGCGGGGTCCCCTCCCCTCCGCCGTCCCCCCCAGTGTCCCTGCTCCCCAATGTCCCCACGTCAGCGCCCTCTTCCCGCAGGTGCTGTCAGGCTGCGGAGTCTACGACGGGACCGAGATCCACGAGGCCTCCGCGTAAGTCCGGGTGGGGCTGTCACCAGAGAGAGCTCCTAAGGTACTGCTTCTAGTGGCGCAAGGGATTGAAACCGGGGCCTTTGTACTGAGACGTAGCTGTAGCCCCGCTTTTTTTTAAAGTTTTGAAACAAGGTCACCCTTGCTAAGTTGCCCGCCCTCGCTCACACAGATCTCCGGCCTTGGCCTCCCAGAGTGCTCGAGTCACAGTTGCGCCCCACCATGCTCAGCTAAGTTATTTTGTTTTGTTTTGTTTTGGTCACACTGGGACTTGAACCCCACATTGCTGAGTTACATCCCCAGCCCTTTCTGTTTTGAGACAGGGTCTCTAAATTGCTTAAGCTGGCTTCAGACTCAGACTCCTCCTGCCCCAGTCACCTGGGTATCTGGGATTATAGATGTGCACCACCAGGCTCAGTGCAGAACCACGGAACATCTCACTTCTGCAGTTTTCAGTGCACACAAACATTTACAAGCAGTTAAAACATTGGGATCAAACTTCACCGTCTTCGGCAAATATAGGGGACAGGGGAAGGGGACGTTACCAGAACCTCTGCAGTGAGTCCTAGTCTCCAGTGAGCCATGGCAGCACACGGTGAATTACAGGAAAGGTAGACAAATGAGACTGAGAAGAAGCTGAGCTTCGGGTCTGATCAGTGCTGCTCTGGGCAGCAAAGACAAAGCCCCCTAGCTTGCAGCACCTTTTATTCAGTACACGGGGAGACAGATGTAACAAGTGAAATATAGAGTTCAGTACCTCACATTGGGATAAACCAGGTGTAACAAAAGGCTTGCAGAGAGTTCAGTACATCTCCAGCAAACAAGATGCTAACAGTCCAAGAACAACGAGGAACTGAGCAGATGTTTGTTCTCCCAGGATGTTTCTTGTCCTGGAGAATCACAGCATCACTGGATCACTGAAGTCTCAGTTGTGACCGGAGGCCAAACTGGAGTTATTCTGTAGCTGGGCTGTAGGCAAGAGAACTAGGCTAACCAAATGATTTTTCCGTAGAATTATGTAGCGTTGCTCCCAACAGGCAAACCTTTCTTCCCCATGGGAACTGATCTCCATTCGTCTGGTCCTCAACAGCGTGCTTTTTGCTGTCCTGTACCGTGGGTTCTCTGGGGCCATCTTGGTGTTGCTTGGTTTGTCCTGGTTCAGTAGAAAGGCCGTGAGCAGGGGTGGTGGGGTGTGACTATCCTGGCACATTGCCTCCTTCCGCTGGCTCAGGGTGGGGAGAAAAGGCTCATTGGCTGCAATGAAGCCCAGTGCAACCCACAGGCCAGGCTGTGGCTCTTCAGGCAGCGGCCCCAGTATTGCCAGTGTGTGCCTGGAGGGGCCTCAGACACAGGAGCCCCGGGTGATTGCGCTGGTGGACACAGCACCAGGGGGCGCCTCCTCCTGTGGATTTGGAGCCAGGGCATGGCTGGAGACCTCACAGGCAGCCTGGGGAGGCGATGTGTTTGTGGCACCCAGTGGCCAGGGCCAGATCCTGACTGCTAGGCTCTGTTCTCTCCCTGCCTCAGTTTGCTCCCCCATGTAAGGGGTAGTAAGAGTGCCCTGTCTGACTGCCATGCACTGCTGCTGTTCCCCTGCAGGCCCATGGGCCTTTGGTGAGGGCAGGGGGCCTGCAGCAGCCTAGGAACCTGAGCAGTTCCATCACTGCACCCCGTGGTGCAGGGAGCTGTTTGGACACATGGTCTGCACAGCCTGCTCCTAGGATTCTTCCCTGGCCACCAGTAGGCAGTGGGATGGAGCTGCAGGCATTTGGGTGTTCTCCCGTGATGTCCCAAGCATAGGTGTTTAGTCCACCTGAGGCTTAACTAAATCCCTTATGTTACAACTCCAGTGTCGGTCTGGGTCGGGAGTGCGCTAAAGTGGTGTCTGTGGCTTCCTCCCACACAGGATCCTGGTGCACCTGAGCCGCGGAGGAGCCGAGGTCCAGATCTTTGCCCCCGATGTCCCTCAGATGCATGTGATCGACCACACCAAGGGGCAGCCGTCTGAGGGCGAGAGCAGGTGCAGGCCGGGAGGGAAACGGGAGCGCGTCCCCAGTGTACGGCTCTGCGGGCTGAGGCTGTGGGTTCTTCTGAGCCTCCGTGCATCGGCCGTGCGCAGGCTGTGTGGCAGTGCTGGGGGGGTCTTGGAGCCCTGGACTCACCAAGTGGGGAGGTCCCACCGTGCCACTCCTCCTGGTAGGAACAAATAGCTGCTGTCCCGCGAGGCGGTGCTTCTCATCTGCTCCCCTTTGGTTGCCTGTTTGGGCTCCGTGCTGCTGTTAGTTCTGGCAGCCTGTCCGTCCCAAGGTGCGTGTGGCCCTGGCCTCTTCCCTGACTCTGGACGACAGCCCCTGGAGGGTGTCCGTCAGGTGCCCTCCAGCCGGGTTCAGATGGGGAAGGGGGAGGGGAGGCACTGCAGCTCTGTCCCTGGGTGCTGCCACTCAGGACCTGCCACAGCCTCCTGCACTAAGTCCCTGGTGCCCACCTGCCCAGTGCGGGACGCAGGGTTGAAGAAAAGCTTAAGACGGAGTTAAAGAGAAAGTGTGAACTGCGACGGCCAGTGCTCCTTTGGCAAAAGGCCCTGGCCCATCTCTTCCACCGAATTTTATTCTTCGTCAGTCAGGGTAAAGGCGCACATGTAGGTGTGCAGTATGTGAAATCTCCATGGAAACCAATGCAGGCGAGGCTTTAAAGAGAAGTCAAAGCAGTTTCAAATTAGAAGACAGACGAAGTACATGGTTGTGATTAGAGCTTTGTCCTTCAAGCCACGAAGGCCACTAATTGTGGGAATGGAGCTTGGGTGCGATTACTCCGGCCTCAGCTGTGGCCGTTAGCGGGGAGGCCATGTTCACCTGCGCGCTACCGTAGTGCTCGTGAGATGCTTCTGTGAGTCACGGAGCTTCAGTCAGACTCGCTTCTTAAAGTGAGCCAGTGGAGGGATTTAACTCTGCAGCCTGCGCTGCTCACAGTATGTTCTGGGCATAGACAGTGTCGTGGGCTCTGGCAAGGCCCCGTGCCCTGTCTCTCCCGTCCCGGGACGCTTGCCCCCAGAGTCCCTCAGTCAGGGTTGCAGCAGCTCCCTGTAGAGGTAGGTCCTGGTATGGCTTCATGCATGCTGAGTGGTGGCTCTCTTGGCATCTGCTGTCCCCCCTTCCCGATGGGCTGCACTGGATTCTGCCTTCTCTGGAGATGCACAGGGCTGCTGTTTCTTGGGGGCCCCGATCCCGAGGGTTTGGTATAGGTTGTGGAGGGCCAGGCTGAAGGCGCCCAGCCTGAGCTCAGGGTTACTGGACCCTCACGAGTTCCACGTGGGAGGCGTTAGGTCTCGTGTGAGCTGTGAGCACGCTTCCCTCTGCCCGAGCTGCGCACAGCACATGTCACTGCAGGCTCCTGACCCTTTCATCCACTGTGCTCTGCCCAGGAATGTTTTGACCGAGTCCGCAAGGATCGCCAGAGGCAAGATCAGCAGCCTGGCCCAGCTCAGTGCAGCCAACCACGACGCTGCCATCTTCCCCGGAGGCTTCGGAGCTGCCAAAAACCTGTGCGTAAGCGAGCTCCGGGCTCAGTCCGTGCGTGTGCAGAGGGGCAGCCTCGCTGGGGTGGCTCTTTGCTTCCCCTCTCTGCTTGTTCTGGGACCTGACAGCCGTGGGGTCGGCGGGGCCCTCTCAGCTAACCCGTCCTGGTCTCTGCTCTAGGGATTCAGCCTCTGTTCGTCCTTCTCGGTGGCTGGCTCCCCGACAGAACCTGTAGCAGGAGACACTGCCTTCCCATTAGGCCTTTTGCCCGCTGTCGCTGTGGGAAGTGGCTGGTGGACGTGGACCTGGCAGCAGTGTCCTTGGCCAGGTCCTCATTAGTCTCCCTTCTGTGCATTCATGGAGATTCTGGTGCTGTCCTCAGCACGTGCCTGTCTCTGGGTAGCGCGTGGCCCGTCCCCAGCAGGAGCCTGTCCTCCCTGAGGACCTCTGCAGGGTCCTTAGGGCCACTGAGCCCTCTGCTGTCACAGGACGGAAAGACGAGGGGTGCTTCCCATGCCGCGGCGTGTTAGCTGTTGCCCTCAGCTGTGCCTGGCGACTGCCCTGCAGGGAGAGGCCAGCAGCCTTCCTACCTCCCCCTCCCTCTCCCCGCTGCGGGGGCCTCCTCCAGGGGCCCCTACCTGCCGCATCCGCTGGGCCCTGAGCAGGACTCCCCCGGGGCGGTGCTCCCGCCTCCTCCTCTTCCCGCTCACTGATCCCTCTGGCTGCTGTTCACGAGGCCACTGTCCCAGCCAGCTGCTTGGACTCCTTTCCCTGTGGTCAGTGACACGCGGGCTTGGCAGAGGGGCTTTGTTCTCCAAGTCATAGCTGACCGAGCCTGCCTTGTTCTGAAGCCTCAGGCACCCTGCCCGCCAACGTCGGGACCCAAGAGGGCCCCTTCCCAAGATTCCGGGCCCTGTAGCGACACCGCATCCCCGCCTCCTGCGAGCTGTGGAAGCCCCTCATCCCCTGCGTCCACACCAGGCTCCAGGCTCCAGGCTCCAGGCTCCAGGCTCCAGGGTCAGGCGGCCTTGGGAGCCCTTTCCAGCAGTTTCTCTCTGTGTCCTGCCAGGACCCGACGAGATGGGGCATCAGCAGATTTTCACTTCCAGCTGGACCAGGGTTTCTTGGGAAGATTAGCTGTGTGCTCAGTGCTTCTCTGACCCATGGCAGGCTTGTCAGGGGCCATGTCTGCCCGTGTGGCCTCTGCCCATTTGGCTTAGGAGCTCAGACCTAGGCAGGCGGCTGGGTCTCGGATCAATCCAGGCTCGTGTCTGAGCACATGGTCCCCTCCGGGGAGGCCGCTGTCTTCCTGGTAGCCACCCCCATTCTCCCAACCTGTCCAGGGGCGAGGCAGCCCCCAGAGGCCAGGCTCCGGCTAAGCCCGTGTGATCACTGAGCCAGCGGTTCCTCTGAGTCCCACAGCTGTCACGGAGGCCCAGGGAGTCTGAGGTGACAGTGACAGGCTTAGTGCGTGCACTGGGCAGCAGGTGAGGGCCTGGAGTGAGTGCATCCAGGGAGAGGCTCGCCCTGGGAGTCCAGCACTCAGCGCTCTGGCCACAGCTCCAGCCGCATGCACTCATGGCGATCCTGTGGGCAGGCGTGGCTGGAGCGTGGCCACACGGTAGCCTGCACCCTTGGCTCTGTGCTGCTTTTCATGGCAGGTCCAGTTTGGAGCTGGTTTGGGAACTGCTCTGCCGCACCCGGACTGCCGGGGGACAAGCTGGTTCTTTCTGTTGGCTGCTTGGGGACTTCAGCGTCATCTTGCCTGTTCTTCGTAGCATCTGGAGGCGTGCTTGGCCCTGTCGCCACCTTGGGACGGGTTGGGCCTCACCCCAAGGTTTCCAGGCTTGGGCACAAGTGCCGAGACTGTCCCAGAACGGAGGGGCAGGACTGGAGCAGGACAGGAGTCGGAAGTGGTGTTCCTGGCAGGAAGCTTGCATGCACTGAGCTGTGAGGGGTTCTGTGAGGTCGCCCACCCTGCAGCAGCTCCGAGGGAGACCTTCCCTCCCTGGTCCCAGCCCTTCATCTTCACCCCTGAGGGCAAAACAGATGGACCCTGGAGGCCTTTTCTTCACTGATGATAAAGTCAGCACCTTTTGCTGTTTGCAGGCCAGTAGTGTTGCCTTTCCTGAAAGTCAGGCTCTTGACCTGGAGCCAAGACCCCGGACTGGCCAGCCTGGGCCTGGTGTCTTTCCCCTGCCCCTCCCCATCCCTGCTGCAGTCTGTTTGAAAAACAGAAAGCTGTGCCTGTAGCAGCGTGGTTACAGGAAGGGTTCGCACGTGCACGTGTGTCCACACCGGTTCCCTGGGATCAGCGGGCCGGTGCTAGGGCTCTGGGCTGGAGTGGGGTGCAGAGGAGCTGCAGAGCGGAAGCGGCTGAGGCAGGCCTGTCCTCTCTGGCAGGAGCACTTTCGCTGTGGACGGGAAGGACTGCAGAGTCAATGAGGACGTGGCGCGAGTCCTGAGGGAGTTCCACGCGGCCGGGAAGCCCATCGGGTGCGTCCAGCTGCCGGGCGGGGGCCAAGAACTGCGAGCTGTGGCCACGTCTGCCCTGGGCTGGACATGCGGCCTCATATGCAGGAGGGAGGAGGGCTCTGCTGCCCGGAGGCCCCTAGGGCACAGTTGACAGGGACGTAGGATGACGCTGGCACAGGTCTGGGTGACAGCTCTGAGGGCGCCTCTGGGGAGTGTGGGGTGCTGTGTGGGAGGCACTGCCTGTCCCATCCCATGTCCTCGTAGCTGCAAGGTGTCAGGCAAGGTGCTGGGGTCCCACTGCTGCCACAGCCCCCAGGGCGCAGGGGTGGGGGCAGGGTGCCCAGGTGCAGATGCCCGTGCAGAGGGTCCTGGCCTGGGTCAGAGGTCAGGGGCTGTGGTTCCCAGACGCGATCTGGTTTGATCAGCTGGTGAGGCAGTAGCTGCACAGCTGGGCTGGGCCGTGCCCTCTGGTGGACCCTCCTCGCCGGGACTCCTGCGGAGGGGTGCCCTCTGGTGGCCCGATGGCCTCCCTGGGGCTGTGCCACCCTGCTGGCTGAGGGAGCAGGTGGCAGGTGCGGGGCTCCCAGTCACTCGCCCCTTGCCCAGGCTCACGTGCCTGTGCTGACGCACCCCCCACTTGCAGCTTGTGCTGCATCGCGCCTGTCCTTGCAGCCAAAGTGCTCAGAGGTGTCGAGGTCACCGTGGGCCACGAGCAGGAAGAGGGCGGCAAGTGGCCCTATGCTGGGACTGCGGAGGCCATCAAGGCCCTGGGTGCCACGCACTGCGTGAAGGGTGTGACCATATCCTTGCTGAGGGCAGGGGGAGCTGGGCCTGCCTGTGCTGCTGGCGAGGGGTGGGGTCCGGTGCCCGATGCCGAGCCGCTCCATGGAATCCCGAGTGGCAGCTGCACCGCCTGGGCCCTGAGACCTGCGGGAGGGAGCTGCTGGCTCTGGCGCGGCCTCTGGGGGCAAGGAGGGGCAAGCTGCTGCTGGACTCCATGCTTCCTTCGGGGGCAGGCAGCCTGGCAGAGGCGCCTGCCCGGGACGGGCTGTCCTGGGAGCCGCCAGACCGAGGCCCCGGCCCTCTCCTAAATTCAGCCCTTGCCGAGGGTTTTTCCCTAACCCTGCACACGAAGCTCACGTGGACCGGAAGAACAAGGTGGTCACGACCCCAGCCTTCATGTGTGAGGCTGCGCTGCACCACATCCACGACGGGATCGGGGCCATGGTGAAGAGTGTGCTGGAGCTCTTGGGGAAGTGACCGCCTGCTCAGCCCCTGCTGGCCACTGCTGCCCTTGGCCGCTGGGCCCAGCAGCAGTGCGGGCAGTTCAGACTCCGGGCGTCTCCTGCAGGAGGAGGTCTATCTTGGGGCCGGTCTCCAGCCGGCAGTCCCTGCGTGGCTTCCCTCACCATCGTGTCCTGGAAACGAGTGGGAGCCAGACGGGGACTTTGCAGAGAAAACCATCCTCACTCGGGTCTGATGGCTCTGAGTGTCGATGCAGAAATGTCCTAAGGTTGTGAGTCTGATAATCAGGAAATGAGAGTACCACGTTTAGAGATGAAGGAACGTTCTGTAACGTGAAGTAAATGTGCACTAATTAAAGCAAGGGGATTTTTTGAGCCAGCAGTCCCGTTAGCCCTGGAGAATAAACTCCTTTCCACATTGGAAACTTCTGACATCTACGTTTCAGGCCTCTGAAACTGGGGAGTGGGTTCTAAATGAGGGTTCTTCAGTTAGTCTCAGTTCTCCTAATTTTCTAGAGAAAGGGGAAATCACTGATGCTTGGCCCAGTAACGGCCGCCGGGTGGTCCCTGGGTGGTGGCTTCCGGTGTGGCGGGCGTCAGGGTGTGCTGTGTCCTTTCCGTGCGGTTTTGGTCTGGGAGACGTATCAGTGGGAATGCAGGCATCTGCACATACTGCCCGTTCTGGAACCTTCTCTCGCCCCAGGTGTGGCTCCAGGCAGCCCTGGGTCCGTGCCCTCGGTGGCACGCTGCAGCCTGGCACTGGCCACTTCCTTGGGAATCTGTTCTGTCCACCCGCGTGAGATGCTGGCTGGAGCAGACTTTGGGCCCTGGAGAGAAGGTGCTGGGCCGTGATGGCACCAGCGCCCCCCACAGGCTGCACACGGACCTGCCAGGGGAGGGACACCCCCCCTCCACCTGGGCAGTTTCTGGTTCTTCCCCCACAGGACCGAGATTCTCGGTGCCTGTGGTTCCTGCCAGTGCTGGGCCCGGAGCCTGCTGCCCATGCCCACACAGTGGCCGTGCTGCCTGAGGCAGCTTGAGCCTCCTGGCCCAGCCTCCATCCTGCTGTCCTCACGAGCATGTGTGTTAAAACTGTACACACGTGTGTGATGGGAACATGCGCGAGTCACAGGTGTGTGAGCCCTGCCCGCCGTCCACACACCTGTCTGAAGGCCAGGAGCCCTGCTTGCCTCTCATGCCCTCCCCCAGCCTTGGCTCTGAGCGGCCTCACGCTGTGCTTCCCTGCTGCGTGTGGGCCCTGGTGTGGGCCCTGGGCATGTGTCCCCAGGGCTCCTGTGCTCAGCCTGCACTGCCACTGGGCGGCCGGGCTCCCAGTGCTCCTGTCACGCAGCGACTGCGTGTCCACTTGGCGCTCAGCTTGCTCTCGGTCCCTTCTCCCCTGGGGACCATCGGGGTCTCTGTTGAGTTCTGAGCGTCCTGGGCCGTGGGTGGGTGGCGCTGCCTGAGGTTTCCCTGGCTCCTGCCGGTTTGCTGAGCTTGGCTGCACCTGTCCACTGCCTTCCGGACGTCACTTTGGCCAGTGTCCGAGTCACCCCATCCGTCTCGCAGTTGCTGGCCGCAGTTGCTCGCGAAGTCTGGGCGCAAGTCCCCCAGGTAGCCAGAGCCTGTGCATCCTCCCACACTGTGCCATGCCCTGCAGCGTCCGGATGAGCAGCTGTGTTCACTGTGGTGGGTGCCTGCGCATCCCCTGGAGCCAGGTCGCCCTCCATCACATTTCGGCCTGCAGCACATTGCAAGTCCACCTGCTGTGCCATGGGGTCTGCCTCCCAGGGGGCCTGGGAGGGCTGGCTGAGCAGAGCACAGGTAGTGGGCTGGCGATGGTGCAGGAGATGGTGTTCAGAGGCAGCATGGGTGCTGGTGGAAGAAAACCCCACTGCCCATGCGCACTCAGTCCCCCGTGCAGCCTGGGCAGACTCACATGCCAGGGGAGTGCCAGATGCAGGAAGTGACCCGGTGCCTGGACTTCTGCCCCTCCCTGCTCCCTCACTCCCAGGGTGCTGCTGAGGGCAGACAAGAAGTGCATGACTCAGGAACCCCCGAGAAACAACTGCTGTTAGCCAGCACTGTGGGGCCAGCACTGCAGGGCTGAGCGCAGACATCCAGCCCTGCACTGTGCCCAACATGGTGATGCCCGACAGAGCTTCCTGCCAGTTTAGCCAGGCCTCGAGGTGTCCACCTGTCCAGGTGCTGTGGGACCTAGACCTGAGCTCTAGAGAGAGTTTGGAGGAGGCCCAGAGAAGGCCACTGCAGACCAGAGCCAGGACAGCAGCCACCAACTCAGTGACCGAGCCCCCCTTGTGAGCCCCCCTCGGGCCAGGCGCTGTTTTACATGGTGGGGATATTCCTTGCCTGGCCTCGTGGACCTGGGGTAGGGGTACCAGCAGAGGCTGCTGGGCACTGGAGCCAGCTGGGAGGGTGGTCAGGGAAGGGGACAGAGCCCAGCTGGGAGAGGAGCAGCTGGAGCTGAGGGCCATCCCTGTGCGGATGGCAGGGGCTGCCGACTGCCCAGCGATGGGGCCTGAGCTGGGGACCCCACAGACCCAGATGCTGAGGCCCTGGAGAGAGGCTGTGTGTTCACACGACGCCACCAGGGGGCGCAGCAGAACCGTCGGTCAGGCTGTGTTGGGAGCCACTCTACATAATTTTGGGGAAAAATCATTTCACAATTAAATTATGATCAGGCCTAGTCTTCTTGCCCTACAGCCCGGCTATGGCATGCTGAAACTACTCCATTTTTGCCTCCAGTCACAGCTGAGACCTCAGTGGTCCCATGATGCTGTGATACTCAAGAGCAAGATTATATCAGCTGAAGACACCCTGGTTCTTTGAGAACTGAGTAGAAAGGTCTCACCTGGGGAGGGACAGATTTCTTACCACCTGCTGCTGTAAGACGTCTTTGCTCATCTTGCGTCCTAATCAGCATAACATCCTCGTGGTCTTAGCATTACCACTGCCCTCCGAGACATCTGTCACTCCCTAGGACTCCAATAAGTAGTGTTGAGCTTGGGGGCCCCTGTCTTTGCTGCCCAGACCAGCACTGATCAGGCCCAAAGCTCAGCTTCTCTGAGTCATTTTCTGTCTTTATTCATTTGCATTGTGCCGTTGTGGCTCACCAGAGACCAGGACTCACTGCAGGGGTCCTGTGAGTGTTCCCTTTCCCTGTTCCCTATGAGGCTTCAGGCTCCAGGCTGGCCCAAGGGTGGCCTCCTGCTGCACCCCTCCTGCCGTGGCTTCAGGACAGGGTTCATCATCTTCAAGAGCCCTGCCTGGATCCCTTTGTCCTGCACCTGTGGCTTCTCTGTCCCCCGTGGGTACTGGGCTCCAGGCTGCTATTCAGTATTTCCCAGCTGCCTTTACCACCTTGGTCCCAGTGCCCTTGCTGCCATCCCTGCTGTCCCACCCCTGCGCCTGGCCCAGATGTCCCTCACCTGCCTGCCTCCTGTTCTCGGCATAGAGCCACCGGCGTGGCACGTTCAGGTGGCACACGGGCACTTCTCGCCTACAGTTTGGTACCACTGAGCCTGTCTCCTCCAGAAACCAGACCCAGGACCCCAGCCCTCTCCCCTCAGCTTCAGCCCTGAGGTGGCCCAGCCAGGCTGCACCCAGACACTGGCTCCAGGGACCTCTCTGTCCACGCCTCCTGCCCCCCAGGTCCCTCTGCCCTGTGTAGCTCTGCCAGGCTCAAGTGGCCCTTCCTGCATTTCTGGCTTTGGCTGAGTGGATGCTGGGTGCCCTGCCGAGGAGGTGCCCTTTCTTGCTGCCCCTTTGGGGTGCTGGTCTTAAACACGTGTGTGTGCTGTGTCACCAGCTTGTCGTTTGTCCTGCCCACTGTTCCAAGCTGCAGGACAGAAGGCGCAGGACTGGGTTGCCTGTCGAGATCCCCGGGCCCGGGGTATGGGACTCAGCATGAGCCAGAGAAGCCTGTGGCCCAAGGGAGGCCACCCCCGCCCAGCTCCAGGCACCCACCCTTATCCTGTAAGGCTCGAGGTCGGCTCTCCTGCGCGCTTTGTCTTAAGTAGACTTGACGTTGGGGAAGTTTGAGGGTCATACCGCAGCTGGGGGAAGGCACGGATCCCCTGTGCACCCCTGCCCAGCCCCCCCATCGGCATCGACACCCAAGGGAGCCTCTGAAGCCATGACACAGCGATGTGCATCCTGGACCCCGTCGCGGTGTGCGGAGGATTTCACCTCCCTTCTCAGGCTCCTCCTCCCGCTTCCCCACTCCCTGGCTTAGCGATGCGCATTTCATTCAGTCTCTGCCACAGTTTGGCGCTGAACACTGCGCTGTTGTCTGGGTGCGCCAGCGTTTAGTTGAAGGTTCCCTCGGTTGCTTCCAAGCTTTGACAATTCTGAATAAAGCTGTTAGAAACGTCCGTGTGTAGGTGTTTTGTCTTGTTTTGGTTTTGGTGTTTGTGCGCATGCGCATGCATGCTCGCCTTCCTTGGGTGGACACCGAGGGCGTGAGTCCGGGTCTCCTCCTGTGCGTGTCAGGGGTACCTCGCTGCTGTAATTCGCAGCACCTGTGCCAGCTTGGTGCCCGTGTGCCCGTCTCCTGTCTGGGTATCGGTTGAGATCTTTTGCCTGTTTTAGAATCACTCACCCTCGTTGTTAGATGTTTGTTTGAGTAGGTTCAGAACAGTGCTTAACAGATGCCTCCTCGGCGGCTTCTCCCTGCCAGTCGCTTGTCTTCTCTTCACGGTGTCTTCACAGAGCAGCGGTTTCAGTAAAGTGCAGCTGGCCGCGCTTTCTGTCCGGATCATGCCTGTGGTGTTGTGTTTTAAGTCAGCACCAGGCCCGAGGTCATCTAGATTTTCTCCTGTGTAATCGAGGAGACTCCTAAGCTTGCGTTTTACATTTTACGTTTTGGTCTGTGACCTCCTTTGAATCAATTTTTGTGAAGTGTGAAAGATCTGATTCCGGAGTCTTTTTTTGCACGGGGATCGCAGCTGTCCCAGCACCATCTGTTGGAAAGGCCGTCCTTCTCCCATTGGTCATCTTCTCCCGCGGCAGTGCCCACTGACTGTGTTGGTGTGTTGTGTGAGTCTGTTTCGGGGCTGCCGGTTCTCTTCCATCGATCTGTTTGTTCTTTCTCCATTACCGCACTGTCTTGATTGCCATAGTTGTGATTTGTACTGAGTCTGAGAGTTAGATAGTGTCACTCCAGGTTCAATCATACGTTGGCTGTTTCGGATTTTGCCTCGTTATGTAAACCTCGGAGCCAGGTTGCTGACATCCATTAAATGATGTGCAGGGGTTTTGATGGGGATTGTCTTGAGCCTGCACATCAAGTTGGGCACATTTGGCATCTCAACAACATTCAGAACCATGGGATATCTGTCCATGCGCACGGGCTGTCTATCCATGCACAAGGGATATCTCTTTATTTGGAACATCTTTGATTTCTTTCGCAG